AAGATAGAATCGACTAATTTATAAGTAATTAATAAATTAGAAAATTTTATTGTCACATTAGAAAGTAAAATAAAGAAGAAAGAAATAGTGATTAATATGTCTAAGCTTTTAAGTCCAAGGGACATAGCACGAATCCAAGACGAAGCATGCGAACCGAAAGCCAACATTGGGGTTGGTCGCGGAAGTTAGAAGGTATACCTAAGATACCCGAGGTTAATCAAAGGCTACCCAGGGAAGTAAAGGTCTTGTCAGCTTACGAGTTACGATGTTAAGTTAATTGTGACTCGGGCTCAACCACCGGGGCCCGACAGGGCATGAGAAGCAAGGCCACACAGATTTTTGACTGACGAGGTCAACTTTCAAGGTCAGTTGACATGTCAATTAGGCGTAGACTTATTAATTGTGGAAGCGCCCTATTTACAAGAAATTTGTTAGGATGTGTGTTTTAAGTAGAACCCCCGGTCAACTATCATGTAGTGTGATGACATCACGGTTACTATTCTAAATGGATGGTCATAGGTTCAAACCCCGGTGGTGGGGACTTAGATTCTTTATAGGTTAAAATTGTTTGAGAAAGTATAGAACTTTATCTAATTATTACTATGTCTCTTTTATTATTTATAATACATGAATCATTCAACAAGTAATCTCAAATCATTCTTTGTCATTTTGGTTAGGAAAAAGTGTCAAATATGCCATTGAACTTTTGCACTTTGTGCAATTTAACTATCAAACAAAAAGGTGTAGAATTAGACTATTATAAATTCAAAAATTGTGCAAATAGCATTTTTACAAGTTACTTCTAAATTTCCGTTAAATATATGTCATAATGTCAAATTATATATAAAAATTATTTTAATTATTATTTTTATTTAAAAATAATAATTGTTTTTAAATTTCAGAAGAATGTGGAGACAGTCATGGCTACCTCCACCTTCGTCTGTTGTGGATGAATATGGTGGCAGGCTGGTAGCCATGGCTACTCCCACCTTTATCCTAGACGATGATGGAGATAATCATGGTTGCTCCTTCCTTTGTCTAGATCGAACGGAGGAGGGGGATAACCATGACTGCCTCCCCCTTCATCCACAACAGACGAAGGGGGAGACATCCTGTTTCCACCTTCTTTTGATTTTTTTTATTTTTTTATTTTTTAAAAAATAATTTTTTTATATATACATCATATTTTATCGAACATTTAGAAGTAACTTGTAAAAAATATTATTTTTATTATTTTTATTTGTTTAATGGTTCAACTGTATACTTTTTTATTCGATGATTTAATTACACAAATCGTAAAAATTCAATAGCATATTTGACATTTTTTTCCTTTTCTTTATCATTCACGTTATTTCGTTCTGGTTCATTATCCAAAATTTATTGACTCATACCGGTTTCAATTAATCCATCAAATAGCATTATTTATTTTAATTTGGGGGAGATTGGTAAGTTCATTTCATTTCGTAATAAAAACAAATCGCAAGGGACAAATATGGAAAGATGCCGAATCTTCGATTTGTAGATTGTGACAGTAGGTTTCGTAACTTCGCAGACCATCTTCACAAATTTATACATTAATGAATTTGATTACAATAATAACAACCGCAGCCATCTTTTTCATTTTTTAATAAATAAATATCTCAACGCGTAATTATATCTTGAACTCTATAAACTTGTTCTAAAATCTATAAAGAGAATAAATCGAAACAATTTTATATTCCCTTCCACTAAAATCAAAATAATTATTCTTTTTCTTTTTTACTTAAATATATTAAATCTTTAATAAGAATCTCAAAAAGATATGATATTCGCCCAAAATTTATTTATATTATAACTATAAAATATTATATAAGAAAATGGAAATAGTGACGTGGGAAATGGAGAAGGGGTTAAAGATGCCTGCGCCGCTACGCGTAAGCCACAGTGGTCTCCAAAGTCCAAATGTCAAAATCATTAGTGCATATTAATCCGGGCTATCTAGCGAAAGGGCCCCATCTATGAATTATCGGGACAGGATATCATGGTAGGGCCCATTAAAGTATGAATAATAAAATAGGAATAAGACAACGCTACGCGCCCACGCACTCTATCCATCGAATCCAACCGCGCTTTGGATCGTCGTAGAAAAAATCGTATGTGTATTCTCATGTTACATGACATGTTATCAATCTTTATTCTTTGGACCATGATCGATTTTGTGAGAGCATCCATAATAGTAATTTTTTTTTTTTTGTAATTTTTGAAGAGTTGTGAGTGTAATTAGGAAAAAAAAATATGGAATGGAAAAAAAAGTAAAATTGAATTTAAAAAATAAATAAATAAAATAAACACTATCAACGTGTTTGACCTGCCTAACAGACACGTGCAGTACATGCGCCCGCTAGGCGCACTTGTGACAGCCACGCGAGGCTGTCACGACTGCTCCATTTTTTTTTGTGGGTCTCACTTTTCTGCCATTATTTTCCTCCCTTACAAATGAATCTCAACCCTCTCTCTCCGCCAACTTAGCTCTCTTTTTCTTAGAATTTGTGCATTATCCACAGGTGTGGATGGCCTAAGATCGACAATTAATATAAAGTACATTTTTATTATACTAAAAATATATTTTTAATAAATTAAATTAAATGTTATTTTTAAGGTACATTATTTCATATACTACAGATGATGAATCTTCAATACACAAATAATTTATATTCAGTATATTAAAAATGTATATTTATTCATGGTCCACAATATAATTTATTGACATGTTATGTTGCCTACACACATGTATAACATGTATTATATCGTGGATTAATGTTCACCATACACATTATATACTATTGTTCAAATTATATAGCATACATGTAGTTAATATATTATGTATATTCAATTAACAAATTAATTATATATTTATTTTAATTTTGTTTTGAGTCTATAATATATAAATTGTAAGTAAATAAATTAAAAGTATATAATATATTAATTATAGATACATAATTTGAACTAGATCCTGAACCATAATATAGCGATTGCATTCATGATGCATGACATGTTACATAAAAAGACAAGGACAACAAAGATTTCTACAACTTTAATTTCTTAATCAAACAACGAAGTTTTCTTCACCACACACATTCATCTACTTGTACGTATGTACGATGATGGACCACAAAATTTCTCGGTATATATTAAATTTAGTTATTTACGTGACAATAACATATGTATAACATGAGGTGGTGAAACACATGAATTAGATAATAATAGTCCATCACAAGATAATTAGATAAATGAAATAAATGTGGAATATATTATATCTTAGGAATAATTTTAAAATAAGATAGTAACCACAATATAAATACTAACTATGGTTTAAAGTTTGAATTTCGATAAGAGCTATTTATTGATATTTTTGGTATAAGTAAGTTGGTCATAGGCAAATCTACGTTGGGTTACCTCTTTGTGCTCCTTTGCTGGCTAGAATTACAAGACAAGTTTAACTCAGGATGCATTTTTGAGTAGCGATTGCAAACTTTTTGTAAATCAAACAAACCAAATCACAATATTCCAAGTTTAATTACCCGCAAGAGCTATCTATTGTCCTTCTTGATAAGTCAACCACAATATTCTAAGTTTAACTTCACGTGAGAGCTGTTTATTGGTCTTTTTAGTTTGAATTGGTCAACTATAAAAAATCTAAGTTGCTTTCTAGTAAATTAAATCATTATTAAGAGTGGGGTGCGGGGGGGTGATGCATAAAATAGTAAAGTAGGTAGGAATGTGCAACGTATCCAAAAATATATGCGGTAAATTGCAAAAAAAAGAAAAAAAAAATAGTTGAGATAGAGGTAGCATGGGAACAATAGCTAGGCAACAAAAAGAAATGGCAGTGAGCACATGCAAGAAACGAGAATAATATTGGTAGCAACGCAGTTTATTCTCCCATTTTGGCAATCATGGAGCTATAAAAATGGTGGTGCCACCCTAGCTAGCTTTGATTGAATGATTGATGATTGGTTCCACTTTCCCCTAAATGAGTTGGATACTTCTATTATTCTAACTCATTAAAAAAACACAAAGACAAAAAATGCACAATGCAAGAGGTACATGCTTGTTTCCCATGTGCCCAAATTCATTCATCCTACAATTTTCTATGCTTATTTAATTACCATGAATGTTAGTTATTGGTTTTGACACGGGGTCAAAGGTCGGACAATATACTCATTAAGAACAAAAGAATGTAATTGTGTGAAGAGTATAGTGTATTGACTATTGAGTATTAAAAGACTTGAACAACTTACAATGCATTGTTCAAGGTTTATACACAAGTTTGGATATTAAATGCCCTTCACTATACATGAAAACTCAATTCTTAAAGATCAATAACATAATCATAAACTTGCTCACCCTAAACATAGTAAGATTGCTCAAATTATATTTTCTAAAACAAGAAACTGTGTCTTAGAATTATGAGTTGACTGGTTCAATGATGAGTACCATATTGAGGATGAGGATAATTGAAGCATATGCTCCTTTGGTTTGGCTCTGATACCAAATTGAAGCATATGCTCCATCTCAACTAAAAGTCTAAGCTAATAGTTAAATTGCACATTAATGGCTATATTGCTCACAAGGATGACCATACGAGCATTCCATAAACTTAGTGCACTTCGTGTGCCAATTGGCCCAGACTACCAAACTGTGAGTCAAGATTTATTGACAGACCGAGAACAAGGGCAACCTCCTCATACCACTCATCGATAGCAATTCCGCTAAAAAAACATAGACTTAAGTGAAAAGACATCAATTGCTAAAATTTGCCAAGTAGGCAAGTAATTTGGCAGTGGCTCTTCCAAATGAGAAAGGTCACGGCTACGAACCCTAGAGTCAGTAGTACTCAAAAAAAAAAAAAAAAAACAATACTAAAATATAAATGTATAATCTAACATTTAGTTGAGACAAAATACATCGTTCAACTTTAGTATTCGACCTGTACATATAAAAGAGACATGTTAAGCATATAACCCGTTAAAACGGAACACATTTTTGGTTGAGACCTTGACATAAAAGTTGAATATGGGCCTAAAAGAACACATTGAGATCTCTACATCATTGTTATCTTTATAGAAATTTAAATCCTACAAAGCATCAATCAATCTGCAGTAAGCTCTAGTGCTCTACATTCCCTATCATGAAGACCTTGCTACCCCACAAGAACCCAAAAAAACCCAATGTTGAGGCGACAAAACCAATTAGGATTTCATCAGTTATCTGTCTAGCTAGGATATGGAACTGGACAGGAGATGAATTAAGCTCAACCAAACATCATTTGAATATCATGTTAATTGAATTTGAATTTGCCTAAGACAGTAACTACCGCTCTGTTCTTTTTCTTCCAAGGTTTCTATCTGGCTATGTAGGTGGAAAGAATCTGTTGAGGTTAAACGGCAAAGTGTAGAATTCCTCGTTTCGATTGTCACCTCTGAATGTTCTGAACTTCACCCACCATGGCATCCCTCTGTCTTTCTTCGATTTTTCCACTTCCAGCGTGTTGTCCAAGAACACCGCCACGATCAACCCCACTGTTGGCGGGGACGAGAATATCGTGTTGATGAATGCATTGAACTGCAATCGTTATGCAAAATGCTAGACGTTAGAGGAAAACACAAGATAGACCATTCTTGATGGACTGGTTTTTGATGGTTCAGATAGAACTCACCCATCCGGCATTGGTGTGAACGAGGCCATGGCGACCTTGGGACCAGTATTCATTAAAGAACTGAGGAATCGAGATTCCTAGGAAGAGTGAAAGGCCCGTGATGAGGAGATTGCGCATACAGTTCATGTTTGTGAACTGAAGAAACGACAAGCCTACAGAGCCTGCAGAAAGGTTGAGACATTTAAAGGTGACAATAGCGATATGTGGTATATATAGATTGGTAATAGCGTACCTACAAGGCCAAACAGAACACAGTATAATGCAGCATATATCACGAAAGGTATAGACGCAAAAACAGCTCCAAATTTCCCTGCAAGAAGCGTAAAATTAACAAACATTCTAGTCTCGTCTTGAGAACCACACAGCACACTATACCTAACATCGAGAAGAATATCATGAAGCCTGCAGAAATCTGAACAACTCTACGGCTTCCAACCCGAGTCAGTCCAAGGAGTCCCACATTTTCCCTGAAATAAATTCGGGATTTCAGCTATTAAGCTTTACCTAAAGCTAAGTATCAAAGCGTAAAGAAACCGATGGCTCACAAGGATCAAAATTCTTACACAGATACAGTGGACCCAGTGCCCGTTCCAAAAAGACCATCAAGTAAAACACCTATTCCCTGCCAACCAATCCCCCGACTAAGTACGTAGGCTGGAGGTGGAGTGGCAATTGCTAGACGAGATGCAGCCTTGTATGCACCAGTTGACTGCATATACTCTCAGTTAAAATGGAACGTTTTGTTGTATAATTTAAAATGTATTTGATCCGGGTTTTAACTTTTAAATGAACGTTACTCATTAGCAGACAATAAATGGACCGGAAAGTTCAACTACATCTTTAGATCTAAACACCACGAACTCAAAGTTACCTCAACCATTGATACAAGAACTGCAGACATCATTGCGAATGAATGGCCAGCGGCGAAAGTAGGTGGACCCCACTGCAAAGGGTACGGGAACTTGAACCTAAGATTATGATTAGTAAGTTTAGTATTATTTACACCCATCAAAAAGCATTACTGAATAGAAGAATACACGTATCAGTACATCAACGGACCATGGAGCAGTAGATATGATATTTGCTCTATCTGTACGACAACTGAGTTGAGTATGAAGAGGTTTGCCTCGGTAAGCTCCACTAGCTGTCAGAATTACGGAATATATCCAAATAATCGCGACGCAGATCAATATAGGAAACCGTTCGAATAGCGGGAAGTCCCTCAGTGGTTTAACGTGCTTTAGATACTGCAATTGGCAGAGTGTTACTTGTATGTCTACCATCCATTTTCTGCATTCGAAAAAGTTAACCACTTACTTGTGACAAGCCAATTACCAACAATAGTGTTGGCAGCCCGATCTCGACACAATTCCCTAGCTGCAAAAATATTTGCACCCGGCAACATATAAGAAACTTGGATAGACAACACATCTATAATTACTAATATGTTGACCATAACATTATATTTTGAGTGAATATAAAACGGTAGTGTTGATGAGAGCATACCGCAGGAAATCCCCTCTGGAATAGGCCCAGACCAACTAATCCAACGACGGGTGCAATTCCAAGGGGACTGAAAAAACTGAGAATAGATTGAAAAGTAGTATCAAGGTCGAGTATATAGCGACTCATCACTGTCATAAATCATAATAACATGAAATGTTGACACCATACCGTGAAAACAGACCCCAAACTTGGCTGTACCCCAAGATTATTTGAATGCTTGACGCAACAATCAACGCTCCTTGGATCGCCCTCATGGTTTGTATAAATCTCTACAATCCAGTTACTCATAAAAGATCATGCAATGCCCTTTAACACAACGAAACCATCAAGTGCATGCTTTCGAAAGCAAGATGAAAAAAAAAAAAAAAAAACACAAAAAAAAAAAACACACAAAAACAAAACCTACCTTGTAAACAACCTCAAATTGAATATTAACTAAATCTATTGATATGTCAACTTAATTTAAAACTTAACTCCTTAAATGCAGAGAAAATGGCGAAAGTTTTCACTTACTATATGTGGCTCACTTATCCGTTGAAGAGATGAATCGCTAATAATATAGACTATGGGGATAACATATGCAAAGGATCCTCCAACTACAGCTGGCAATCGGGTTCCAAAGAGTGCTTGGAGAAGAGTGTTTATTCCAGCAACAAAAAGCAAAGTTTGTATTACCCGTGCCTTGTCCCCCTGGGTAAAGAAATAATAAGTGAACTATGCAAAAAAGGTATTTAAGGAGACTTAGGTTATTATCTGACAACTTACGTCGGATCCACCCATTAGTGGTACAAGCAGTGTAGGGATCATCGCACTTGTCCCAAGTACTAATATGTAATTTTGAAACGCTAACAATATGGTTTCAGCTGCAGACAAGAACCTTAAACAACATCAGTAGCCAGTAGGCATGACAAAATAGCAAAACAATAATGCTCTGCCAGCATATCTCTAATGCAATAAGAAACGTAAAGTGCTCAATATAGATTTTGCTTGACAAGAATTTCCTTCCTCATAGCCATTACCAAATTCACAAGCAACATTTCATTCTCATACCCAGGTTATGAAGAATTGATATTCAACAATTTAGCAAACTAAACGGAATTAATTTTCCCATGTCCCAGTCACGCAATGAGAGGGCTAAGCTATTGTTAATGGGAAAACAACTCAAAAAAGAACAAACCAACAAGGAAAAATGAATCATTATTTCCATCTCCTGCTTTTTCTTGGATTTATTTGTCATATTTCTTTCTTTCATGCTAATAGTCATTGCCCTACTTAGCTTTAAAAACTTTTGACTTGAATAAGAAATGACCGAAATAGTAGTGACAAGTAGAGTAGGAAACACCGTCATTGTCATGCCCACATTCTGAAAGATTCAACCTTTGCTCAAAAGTCATCAACCCAATACACAACCGTGACAAACTTGTCAATGTTTCAAACTTTGTTCAATCTTTATACCGCTAAAGCATCCTTTCAAATTAGCCAGAGAAAGAAGGGAAGAAATAGCAGCATTGCTTCTGCATTTTCTGGATAACTCATTCTAAACCATTCAAGAGTTTGATGGTGAATTTTAGAACTTAAGAAACAATATAATACATTCATCCCCAAAAAGGAAAAACTAAAAAAACAAAATGCTCATAGAAAAATTCAATCTTTCCAAGTGCCAGCCATTGCCATCAATTTAGCAACAGACACCCAAACTAGCACTGGTTTTCCTGTTAAGAGATACCCATTTTGCTAAAATTCACCATGACACACAGGAGAACCGAGTGCCATGTATCAACAAGAAGCAAATCAAGGGGAAAAAAAAATCTGACAACGTTTTGAAAAACAAAAGAGAATGTCAATAAGCTAAATGACCAAAGAGCTAGTATTGACATCAAGCGAAACCGCTAAACGAGGGTAGACACACAGAGTTACCTAGTACATTTCGATACCCACAAATGGCAAACAATGTTGTCCCTTCACAATCAAACCATTCTACATACACAACAAGCGCATACCCTATACACACACATATACACAGTGACAGAAATGGGATACACATACATATATATATACATACAGAGAGCGAACAAGAGAGAGAGAGAGAGAGAGAGAGAGAGAGAGAGGAGAAAGTACGCCATGGAGGGTTAGAGTCTATGCAGTACTCGAGGTCCTGGAGTTGCTCCATAGGAGGGTGAGCAATCTCTGCCATTGCCATTGGTGAAGGTGGAGGATCACCAAGAACTCGTCTGTTTCACTGTCTTACACACAAAGAATCAAACACAAGAAAGAACGATAATGCAAAAGAGAAAAAGGACAGAATATTTGAGAAGAAGCTAATAAAAACAAGGAGGAGAAAGTAGAGAGAGAGAGAGAGAGAGAGGAGAGCAAAAGAAGAAAGTAAAGCACCCAGGCAGAGCAGGGCAGCACTACTACACACAACAAAACACCATATAGAAAGTTGAGAAAAGAGAAGCAAAATTAAAAAACCAAAAAATTATTCTTTCCTGAAAGGAATAAATGTTGGATTAATATATTACTCTCTTAATATAAAATATCAATAAATTTACATTTTTGACCCTTCAATTATATTCGTGATACAGATTTAGTGGCTATTAATCGCTAAGTTATATGTAAAGAGACAATTTAAATTACTCAAAAACTATTTCTGTCACCAAGATATCATTTGATTTTTTCAGGAACGAAAGGTTAAAGATGTTCACATATATAACTCATTAATTAAGTATATATACTACGAGATAATTAGATGATGAAAAATATAATATTTAAAAATAAATGTATGATGAGAGAGAGGATGAGAGATAGTTACGCTGGTATTGCTCACCCGAAACGAAACAAATTAAGCTAACACGTACATGGTGATAAGGATTTAGTTTCCCTTTTGAAATTTATCTGAGGGGGGTTTGGATATTTTGACCTTGGTTTTTAGTTGTATTTGCAGATATGCCATCGGTAGTCAAATTTGCTGAGTGGGAATGTGGGACCTATCTGAAATCTGTTGGAGAAGACTGTTAATATGTGCTACGGAAGTCTAAACACTTGTGAAGTACTGTGACAGTGTGGCTTCCACTTCTACCCTTTATTTTTTCTATAATCTTTTTATTTTTGAAATTATCCAAATAAAGTAACACAATACATACATACACACACAATGTGTGTATATATACATATATTGTTGACAACTTAAGGATCCATTTAAAGTTACATTTTGAATAAAAATAATCTGTCTTAGACAATTTTATTACAGAAGTACGAGTGTAGAATTCAAACTGTACTCTCTAATTTTTATATCAAGCTACATATCCCTCCTCTGTTAACATTCGTTAGACGACAAATTCACCAAATCGTATAAATCATCTAAACCTACGAATCAACATAAAGATATCATTTAGCAGTAAAAAATAAAAGTAGTCCTTTTCACCATTGATTGCAGTCCTGCCATTTCCCAATCAAAACAACAACCAATTCAAGGGACCACATTGTGTACCTTAACTCCATTTTATCACTCCCTGCGTAACTCTACTAAACCAACGTGAACAAATATATATACATCATCATTATATTCATCACCTAGAGCTAGCTTGGAGTGTTGTAAATATACCGTTAGAGTCATATGTAAATGTGATACTTTTGACTTTGAATAATGAATGATTATCATTACAATTAATAAAAGAATTGTTTCAAACACAGAACAACCAATCAATTTTATGTTGTTCTTTAATTTATGTGGTTCTTGATTTCTTTATTCATTGTTATTATTACATACACAAATAAAGTTGGGAATTATAGCCTCTTGATTGAGCTAATCGCAGGCTCGTACCATTTGCATGTGGGCACACAAAGTTGGGCAACTTTTGGGTGTGAAAAGGGGGTTTCAATTCCCTCTTCCCACTAAACTGGCTGTGGGATCAAGCAGATAATTATTTCAGGTTTTGTTTTTATTAAATTTGACAACAAGAATGATGATCATCTGTCATCTTTGTTCTGTGCAGTGTAGTATGTAATATTTTAAAAATAATATATCCTCGTAGTATATTTAATGTTGTTGTTGGTAGAGATTAGAGTTTAAAAGGTGGATGGATATATCATATATGCATGGTAGGTAAGTGTAATAAAAGATGAGGAGACATTGATGCTTTGCTAATTGATTATGAGATAGCAGTGTTTACTGCAAATATCAGATTTGTGGGTTGGTGTGAATTCAATGAGTTTTCAACACTCTTTGCCTGTCATCATTGTTGCCTTGTTGTTTAGTCTGTACCACTGCCTCTCACTCTCTCTCACTATTCCATTATTATTGTCTTTGATTTAGAAGAAAATCTACCATCACTATATATATATATATATATATATATATTTCAAAGCCAAGGAAATCCGATTGCATTAAACTGTTAACGAGACAAAAGGTGGAGGATTATCCCTCCATACCAAACGAGCGCCTGCCGCACCAATATGTTTCGCTAAGGCATGAGCTACCAAATTGGCATCTCTGCGTACAAAATTAATCGAGCAATAATGAAATGAGCAATAATCTACCATCACTATATAAATATATACTAAGTTCACCTTTTATGATCATAATCCATAAAATACCACAAAAAAATACACTAATTTAAGTTGTCTCATAAATTACTCTATTATTATTTTGAATATTTTAGATATTGTTAAGAGTGTCTAACACCGGATGTGTTATATATATATATATATATATATATATATATATATATATATATATATATATAAACAAAAATGCAATGTCTTTTTATAGACTCATAAAAATATTACATTTTTATTATTAAAAAAAATATTGCACATCTCATAAGATGGAACACATTCTTTAAGAGTTAAGACTCAAATTATAATCCATCAAAATCTAATTACCCTCACACATACTCGAAATCTATCAACTTAAACTTTTTAATTAAAGCGGAATCGTAATTCAATTAAAATATCCTAAACATTTTTACTTCTAATTTTTTTTTTATTGACTTTAAGGCACTTTTTTTTTTTATTATTGATTTTGAAGAGTTAAGAGACAAATAAAAATGCTACTTGCATCTAAACGTATAATAAGTTGAATTGGTTAATTATGTTTTGTTTGTCTGTTTTTTAATGATTTTTTGGTGCTGCCCTGCCGGAGTGCCGGGAACACGAAAGATATGGGTTAAGGTTGTTTTTGTCCATGAATTGCGCAGGCCCATAATGGTAATTCTGGAGAACTTGAAGTCCTAAACATTTTTTTTGTTTGTTTTATTTAAAATAATAATAAAGTGGAGAATTAACTTTATTTAATTATTATTATTGCATGCGCGGCTGGCTTTCGGCTCCAATCTGATTCCATTCTTCACAGTTCACACATCTTTGTTACATTCCAACGACAGAGACATGCAATGCACCTTTCAATTCCCCGAATCCGATTCGCATGAACACCCAAACCTACTCAACCACACTATTTTTTTTACAACTCTCACTCCTCTCGCTACCAAAATCATCATTCAGTTGTGATGATAGAAATGTTAGTTTTGAGTCCCACAGGCTTAAGTTACTGGTTCAGTAGATAGTATTTAAGAGAAGATATCAATGTTTGAATCTGGATAACGACAGTGTAGGGATTATGTCCAAAGTGACATTCTTTATATGCATTCACATTTGACTCTGTCTGTTGAACCATTGAGTCAGAGTGATCATATGGACTTATTCTATCACAATCTCATATGATACCGTCTCACCCTATAATGTAGGGACCAAATATGGTAATGTGTATAGTTGAGGTCTGAGGAATTGAATTAACGATTTGCTCAAAATCATAGAATTAAAATTACTTTTTTTTTTAATATTAAATTTTACCGGTATCAGGTCAATATTCACTAAACGTGAGATATTATGTATAAAACTCTATATTGTAGGTCGAGTTTGTGCATAAATCATTAATTAAATAAAATTAAATAAAATAGGTTAATAGTAAGGATTAAGGAGGATGAAATTGGATGGGGGCATAGCATATCCAAAAGAATTGTAAAGTGGTAGTGATAAAAAAAGGATAAAAAGGAAAGGGAAAAAGGGTAGAGGTGAGGACCACAAGATTGAGGATATAATAGTGATTTTAGAGGTGAGGAATTTGGAATAATTTGTATTGCCTTCCAAATACAATCATCCAAAAGATCTCTTTTCAATGTATTCTTCGTCCCACTAAGTCACTAACATACAACTTAACCATTTTACACTTGCAATTCATAAACAAACTATTAAAATTTAACATTATTCTTTTGAGTGACGAGAAAAATTGACACTTACTATCTAAAGTGTGCACTAGGTAAATCCCGCCTTATGACCCTAGCTCACAAAAAACCACAAAGAAATAAATCAGTCTAAATTGCTCATAACTAATCAGCTCAAACCAAGTGAAAGTCAAACTTGTAACCTTCTGGTTAACAAACCAACGACCAAGTTGGATTACCCAAGTAACATTATTTTATATTTTTATCACATAATCCTTAATGCTCCAAAGTTACTTGGTTACTACACTGGATTCTTCACTCTACCTGTAAATACAATGAATGAGAAGAAAACACCTTTATACTTGATTCCTTGTCGGAAAACATTAAAAAGGACAAAGAAAGACCTCTAAACGAGGAAGCACACTTCAAGAAAAAGTGGGATAGTTTTGTACATTAAAACAGTTGCAGAAACTAATGAAATAATCCTCCTACTTCACCTTGGTGTTTTCTCTTTTGCTTGAATCCACTGATTCTCTGAAGCCCAAATGTTGTTAGAGCATCCTAGGTACAATGTTTCTTTGCCCACACATCAACCTAGCACTTATAAACGCCTTTTTAAACGAGAGAATAATAGCGTTACTTCTTCTTCCCCAGAAAGTTTGGATTGAGTGACATCTCGATTTCTTCAAGAGACCGCCCTTTGGTTTCGACTGTGAAGTAGTAAGCAAAAGCTGCTGCCAGAATGGAGAAGCCACCAAAGCTCAAGTAGACTGGGGCGACCCCGAGCTTCTCAACGAGTTCCAAGAAGAAAAGACCCACCAGGAAGTTGCACACCTGTTCATTCACTGCCAAGTAAGAGACGCTCGGGGAAAAGAATGTGTATAGTTAAACATTTACCACTCCATTGTTGAACAGAGAAACCGAGAGATGTACCCAGTGAACAGAGAAACTGAACCCCATTATCTTCCCCCGCGTCCTGCTGCTGCTAAGCTCGGGTATTATTAGACCAGTTACTGGCCCGGCTCCAATGGCAAAGGTGAATATATATCTAAGAGTTAAAGCAAAAATGAAGCATTGGTGACTAAAAAAGACATTAAAGATAGAAACTCCAAGAAAAGACAATTACTCAGAGCAATTGATATGCTATATTTTCAAATACTCGAGGCATCAATGAAGCTTACAAGAGACTCCCCAATATCGACAAGTTACCACTTATGCCTTTGTCAACTGGAAAGCTGATGGCATAGACTACTAGGAACATCGAGACAGCCTACACAAGATATAACAAAATTTAATCTTTATATACTTCAAACGTGTAAATCTGTACAGGTATATGGAATGTGAATTTGATACCCTATGAATCATGCTGTTAATCTGAATCAGTTGATATGTAAAACGAGTTTCTGACTCACCATCCCAATGTAACTTCCAATAAGAAGCTTTTTTCTCCCTTGTCTATCCATTAAGTACGAAGCACAAAGTGCACCTGTAGGTGAGCAAATATAAACTTGTGTAATAGATGCAAAACATGTATATGTGTAATGTAATCTATATCCACTCAAGTACGGTTTTCTAAATTTTTTAAGTCGTTACCAGCAAAGTTGGTAAGTCCAACATATAAGCTCGCTAAAGCACTGCTCGAGATTCCAACATCTTTGAAAGTCAAGGATGAAAAGTAGAGAACTCCGTTTATGCCAGCAAACTGTTGAAGTACGAATAGCATACCTCCAATCGAAGCGACTGCAAGCATCAAAATAGTTCAGCCTAACATCAAACACTAACACTTGTGTTGCCATCATAAGGTAATAAACTCGTATTACAGCTTGAAGATGTGAAAGAAATACGAAAGATTAAAAAATATATGTCACGGGTCTCATCTCTACATGTATCCAAGAAAATAAACTTCAAATATTGTCAACGCTTTTAAAGCAAGATGTAACCTATCTGCATGTATTAAGCCTCTTCCAACAATCCCAAACTATTGGGTAACCCAGTTCTAATGGCCCTGTTTGGTAAAATAGTTAGCTTTTTGGCTTATTTGACCACTATTAATTGTTTGACTTGGTTAAAAAATCAATATAAGTGTTTGGTTAATTAGCTATTTGTAACTCCAAAATGCTAAAATTCAAAAAGCTGCTCAAAACAACTTTTTCAATTAGCTTTTTGAGAAAAGAAATTATACCAAACTGCTATCAGCTAACAACTAATTTACCAAACACATTTCTAAAATCAGCTAATGTTATCAACTAGTTATACCCTCTAATTAACCCAATCAGCTAACAGTCATTTACCAAACAAGAATATCTTTTGAAAGGTCCACTTCGGGTTGTGTGGTTGATTGCAAATACAAAGCATTTATGGTTTAACATTTATGAGTTGGTATGGGGTAAATACTAAATTAAGAGTTGAATTTGTAAAACGAAGGCACAGTTTGTATATAAAGCGCAAATGTTGAAGCAAAATCACGAGAGACACTTAAAAACCACCTTAACACAACCTCTAGAGTGTGGTTCCTCTAGGAGTTCCAACCAACTGCTGTCCAAGTCACCCCCGTCATTTCTTATTACAGATTGAAATTCTTCAATGGCTTGGTTCACGTAGGATGCTCCCCAGAGATTCCTAAAAACTTCTTTGGCATCATCAAGTCTTCCAGCCTGTGGGGACCCTTCACGGCAGAATTAGCAAAGATAAAAGTAACCAACATATTTGTGTTTTAAATGAAGAAGGAACATACTTTACATAGCCAGCGGGGGCTTTCAACAGCATATTGCATGCCAAACACAAGAAAAAGTCCAGGAACACTTGCAATATAAAACAGTATCCTCCACCTGGTAATGGTAAATTTCAATTACACGGTTAAACAGACAAGCACAAGGCCTTACATAACTTCAAGTTTAGCTATACAGGGTCCAAGTAATCAAGTATATACAATAAGTTCTTCAGAGAAAATCACTAAAAGGACTGTTCCCCCAAGTCTTTTCAAGAATAGGTCTTGACATAATAAGGAAACCAACAAATTGTTAACATTAATGGCTGTCTTTCACTTTACGATTACTTTTCTAGGGCTTTCCCTTTACCATCTAAATCTACTATGTTTTCATCTTTCTCATGCAAATTCTTTGAAATTTGGATGGAAAAATAAAACATTAGGAAACAGAATTGAACTATACAAAGAAAGGGTGTGTTTGGTTCGCACATGGGAATCGGAATCGGAATGGGAATCAAATGCTTGGTAATGGTAATAGGTTTTTGTAAAAATATTTTGCATGTTTGGTTATGTGTGACCCTATAATAGGAACAACGATTTTAAAAATACAAAAACAAAAAATCAAGACAATTGATCCAGATATAATGGCATCCAAAGCACCGATATGAAAAAAAAAAAAATCAAAACAAAAATCTAAAAACACTAATCCAAACTTAAAAATCATATTACCAATCAGATGGAATGATACCCGTTTTTAATTAGGGAATGAGGTTTTTAATTGAAGGGTAATAAAATCTCATAGTTGTGTTCAACCAAACACTAACTATGATTTTGATTTTCATTCTTGGTGTGTAAACCCATTAACCAAACACACCCAAAATATCACCAAAAACGAGTGAAAAAAAAAATAATAAAGTTAAGCCATACCAGTGGGGATCATTTTCTGAGCGGATTCCTAGAAATAGTGAAGCAATAATCCCAAGACATGTACCGATTTGACACAAGGTCCCCAGTGTGCCCCTATGTTTTGTTGGAGAAACCTAAAAAACAAACATTAAGTGATCAACAGAAATGGTAATATCTACTTTATAATTACAGTTACTCATTTTAGCCATCCTTCTTGTATCTTCTTTTCTTTAAAAGCCTAATAAAATATTAGATGGAAAATTTTCACCGTTTATCTAAGTCACTTTACTAATCAATAATTTTGCTTATTGCTAAAAGCAAACATTCCACCCCTCCGCTACAGGCTACAGGGGAGAACCAAAAAATAAAAAAATAAAAAGGATCAAGCAGAAAAGATGGACGAAGAAGTTTGTAGCCTTGTAGAACTTGGAAATGTTATGCCTAAGCAAGCCAAGTAGGAAAGAATTGCCTTATGGAATCGACATTTCACTAATTTAAAGGATACCTCTGAAGTATACACAGGAACAAGAACTGTATTTACACCAATACCAAGGCCAACAAGAAATCTTCCCCATAGTATTTCATCTGTTGAATGAGCTTGTGCGCTGCCATAAATTGAGGAGCTTACATATTAAAACGGTGAAAACCAACCACAAACAAAGGTCATGTATCAACACAGCTACAATTGCCGAGACACCATCGATTGGCATGAGGTGTTTGCAAACAGAACGAATATGTGAATGAACTTAACACTTCTTACACAAGAACGAATATATTTCACAAAGTAGAAGCTCAGAAAAGAAACCTCAAATATAGTGATATTAAGCATTATTTTTAACTTTATCAGTCCATAGAAAGTCAGTCCCTCATGATATGAAGTGCACAAGAATTAAACAGTATAGAGTAAGGAAATAAAATTAGGAACAGTTTCAACAGGAATCCTAAGGCTACCTTATAATTGCACCAAGTATAAGCGGTATTGTGTCAATTTGGAATGTGCGACGGCATCCAAGTCTGTCAACAAGGGATCCACAGCTTATGCTCCCTATGAATGCACCCCCAATAAAGATGCTCACAACAAGCCCTTCAAGCAGTGAATTCCCTTCAAAGCCAAGCTCTTTGGCAATTGACACAATAGGACCATTCATCACTCTGCACCAAACAAGCATGCATATCATAATAAAAAATTCAAAACTAGGAAGGAAAGTGCGACAAAGTAAGTCTACTGTTCAGTTCATCATAGTCTCCAAAACCATTACAGCCTAGAAATTTGATAAGTAAGACTACTAAGTAATGGAGGAATAGGAAATACCCAATGTGATACCCAAAGAGGAAATTGGACATAGAGGCAATCAAAATATGCGGAAAAGCAGGTAACCAACCCAGATCAACCGCTTCAACAGTGCCATTTTCTTGAAATGAATCATTCTCACCGTCTGAACATTTAAGCATAACCAAAAGATCCAATCTTTAACACCAATAAATCCCGACAGCGCAGTAGACATGAAGAAAAAGCTGAGGATATAAATCATACCTTGCTTCTGAACCTGGGGCTTCGATTCTTGAAGCTGTTCTTTCTTGGAAGCAGAGGCAACTGTTAGCCGTAGCTTCCTGGGATGTGAGTTTGAGCATAATTGGAACTGTACAGTGCCACCAGGAGTGTAGCAGGAGAACAGATTTGGGTCGGGGGGTTTGGCGGCGGGAGATAGTTGAAGAGGGCGAAGAACAAGCGCTCTCGACATTGTGGATAATGAAGCCAACGTTACTGCTAGAAAGTACAACCCGGAAAAGGACCAGTGTGGATATCAATTTGTGGATCATAAAATCAGTTGGAATTGTTAGTTGAACTGGAAATTATCCACTCCTAAGTCTCACACGCACTGATAATTACAATTGTGTTTTTTAACAAGTTATGATATATTGGATAAAATTAATATTGAATGAATTGAATTTCATATCGTTTGCTCTTAATTCATTTTATTCGCTTTAAAAGTAAATCAACGTTTAATCTAGAGCAAGTTAAATGAGTTAAAATCTAAATTGCTTAAATAATTGAATCTAATAATCCAAACAAATCATATTTAGGGTGTGCAATGCCAATGGTCCATTTGTTTGATAAATAATCGAAAAATGCTAACATAATTGTAAGTGAGCAAAAATTCAAATTGATCCATACACATCTCTAAATTTAAGTGTCCACTATCTAAATAGTTTGAGGCTCACGTCCAATATACATAAGGCTTTGACCCAATAGTTAAGAGTTACTATTAAAAGCCCATATCAGACAATTTGGGTTGTTATACAATGAATCAGGGTCACCTTCTGATCTTAAAAGATGTATAAATTATATATTTTTAGTATTGTAATTGTGTACTTTTAAAATATAAATTATGTTTTTAAGTTTGTAAATACAATACAGGGTCATCAAATCATAATCTATTAATATTGTGCGATTACAATATTTGAAAGAAACTTATGAATATAAAATAAAATAATTAATTACATATGTTAATATTATGTGTTCAAAATATATAAATTGTGAACATTTAGACTGGTCCACCTTCCGCATAGAATAATTTGCGAGACAATTTGGTCTCTAAACAAAAGGGCCCCATCAGTTATGAGTGAGTAAGACATTGACGGAGACACAGACAGTACGTGTACGTGTTGCAGCACGTGATCAACATGTGGTTTCAATTTGCACTGATTAAAGTAGAGAAAACTGGGAAAGTTAATGATTGAGGACAAGAATATGTTGTTGGATTGAAACTTAAGCGATTATGTTAGTTCATCGTTTTGGATGCTCGAAAGGAAAGGCGTGCTAATGATTAATGTGTATTTTTTTTATTTTTTTTTTTGAAACAATGATATGCATAATAAAAATGCTATTTATTGATTATTTTGTTCATATCATTATTGAACTTTTTCTTGTACTTAAAAGTTTTAAGGGTCGTTAGGACATTTATAATTTTTTACCACGAGGTGGTCTGAATCATTCTCTATCCGTTTACTAATTCTTGTTCACTCCAGGAGGCTATGTGAGTTGATCTAGAGGGAATCATCACTTGTGAGAATTCGAATCAGGATATTTCCAAATTCTTCCTCACAAAGATAGCTCATTTGCCACTTGAGCTACCATCCCGAGTTATTAGGGCATTCATAATGATTATCCTTTTTTCTCCCCCAAATCTTGGACCCAACTCCTCTACATTAAACAATTTATATCATGGAACAGGGTCCACATAGTATTATGGACTATGAATTGAAGCAACGAAGTACATAATTCATATTCTTTAGTACAGAATTTCATAACACAAACACAAGACACATAACATAGCATTATGGACCCAACTGGATTGAAAAGACGAGATACATAATTCATATTCGTAAGATACATAATTTTTTAACACAAAATACAAAAAATTATAACACAAGACGCGTACAAATGTTATATATTTACTTATTTTTTCAAATCTGATTTAGGTATATAATTTGTGTTCATAGGCACAAAATTTCACAACACAAGACACGAAAATTCATAACATAAGACACAATTACTAATTTGTTCCAGATATAGAATTTCATAACGCAAGATACAAAAAATCATAACACAAAACACAAACACATGAATCAAGGTCCATAATGCAGTGTGAACCTTGGTCCATGGTATAATGATTGCTCCACATCACCTTAATTATAATCTCCTCTCCTATTTTCTATCCAATCCTTCTCTCCTTTTCTCCATTTTAATTGTTATACTTGTATTATGAACTTTTGTTACAAAAAAAAAAAAAAAAAAAAAAAAAAAAAAAAAAAAGTAAAACCCTAATATAGATGACTACATAATTTGTAAAATCATAAATAGAAGAAAGAATAGTGATTTGTAACTTATCGCACATGAATGGAGTATATCATGTACATACTTTCTAATAATGATTAAGAATTTTCCTCATGATCACAAAGGGGAAAATAATAGGTAAAATAATTTTTTTTTAAAAAAAAAAAAAAAAAAAAAGAGTTATAGTTGATCAATCAAATCAAATCATGTAGCTCTTGTGTTAGTACAAATATCTGGTTCTTTATCTGTCTCGGGATCATGATTTTTTGTTCCATCAGTCTATATTTCGTTTTGGTTGATTATTAAATATTAATGCATTTCCTCCCTTTCCTTTCAAAAATACAATATGAAGATAAATTCCGACATTCCGTCAAACTTTTGTTGTTGCTTAAAAAAAAAAAAAAACAAAAAAAACAAAAAAAAAAAAAACACAAATCCTGCTTTGCTTTTCAAAATCACCCTCCATCAATTTCAATCCTCACTCAATAATCAATAATAAAGAAGATTTTTTTTTTTTTTTAGTACAACAGAATAAAAAATAATTTTTAAAACAATTGTATGAAAAAGATATAACCATCACTATGTAAATTTTTAAAAATATATTTTTTTTTATATACACGAGAAATTGATCTAAATATGTCTTATAAAAAAAATATTAAACCTATACAATAGACTATAATTCTACAAGGTCCTTCAGACCAAATAAAACTTCACTCTTAACAAATTTAACACTTTGGATATTTTTATTCAACAAGTTCAATTCAAAATTTGGAGCCGACCAACGACTGGGATGCTTTGGTGAAGGCTCACCTCTAAAGAGTATATAGATCTCCAACTATTTGACGATTTAGGTGCTTCAGCACAAAAAGTTAAGAGGTAGCTGTTGTTCTATATTGTTTGGCGTTTCTCAATTATATTACCCCAAAAAATAATTGCATAATACCTTTTAGTAGCAATAATAAAAGAAATAATTACAATTTCTCATAATTTAACAAATTGAATAGAATCAATTTATACAAAAAAGCAATTATGTTCCTGAATTTTAAAAGTTACAATTAAACATATAAACTCATTGATTTGATGTAATTGAATTGATAACTTGTTAAATTGTTACACTTATTTAAATAGCGAGCTAGTAAATTAAAAGTTAGGGTTAAATTAATAAAGCATGCTAATGCGTTGTTTTGTAAATAAAAAATTAATTTTTAGAAAATAATGGTTGTCGAAGAAGACGGAGAAGCATGCTGCCTCTCGTAGTCTCCATCTTCTCTGGTGCTTCGCTGGTCATCTGAATGGAGAAGCTATGGCTAGCTTCTTTGTCTGTTGGATAGAAAAGGCATGATTGGCTTTTCATTTTGTTTTTGTTTAATTAATTTTTGTAATTTTAAATTAATTTATTTGAATAAATATTGAGTTAATACTCATAATGGTCCTCGACTATTTTCAATCTCGTTCTAAATGATTTTGGTGATCTAATGTAGTCTTAGACTTGTGTGTTTTTACTCCATTTAGTCATCCGTTTGTTATTCTGTCAATTTGGTGTTAAATAAAAGAATATTTCAGTAATTACAATATTGACATCTCTTCATTCCTAGACTTGCGAAGTGTAAAATACATTTTTCTTTTACGAATTACTCCCAACTCTATGAATATAAAATTTGAGAATATATAACTGAAATTTGAGAATATATAACTGAAATGACGTTAAGATTCTTAATATGATAAGAATGTCTTACCGATGGGACTTGAGGGAAGACTCCATGAAGAATTCCATTAGCGAGGCAATTGGGACATCTTCCGATCCAAAGGCTTTCTCCAATGATTTGGGCACATAAGTTTTCATTCACGTTTTAATCTTTTCATACTCGAATAATTATCGTAGAAGATTTTATTACCGATTAGGACGATGGAATAAATATAATAATATTTTATACATTTATCATCAATTAGGAATATAATATTGACGCATTAGCATTTCTACTGGCATGGGGAAAATGGTTTAACTAAATAATCAAATTATCAAAACATTTAGCATAATGCCAACAAGATTTTGTGTTTTGATCACTCCAGAACTTGAGGATAAAATAATAGTCCGATCCCATTGGGTATATCTGGTGTTTTTACCTCACTAAGTTTTATTTTTTTTATTTATTTTTTTAAAAATAAAGAGATAAAGTGCAACTGGATCACTTGCATTAAACTACAAAGGCATTGAAGTAAAAGCAAAATTGATGTACGGTTGTGCAGTGTCATTTTCGAATCTTATTGGCCACACACAATAGGCCATAAGCTTTCCCACCACAACACACATACTTCCAATAACCTATTCTATATATATCTAATATCATATAACTTTTTGATTTTGCTAATATCTACACGAATAAAATTAATCTCGATATAATATTAATTAATTAATTAAAAAATTGTGAGTCAATTAACAAAAATGATCGATTTGATAAAAATCATTCATTTTATTTTAAAAAATATATTGTAATAAACTAATATCAGTAATTTAGTATTTTTCAATGAGTTATAAAATTTATATATAAAAAAATTCTTTTTAAAATTTAAGATAAGTTTTTATTTTTGACGTGTTATTCATTCTAACCTAATTAAATTATGTGAAATAAATAAGAAATATGTTGTACAACTTTGATTTCTAAACCAACAAATCTACTTGTAGACAAACAACAAGATGTGGAGGGCATACTCTCGTCCCATCTCCATATTTGCCAAATTTTGTAATCTTTAGCCCCTTAATCATTCAATTCCAAATAAATAATCATCTTTTCCTCATCTACACTCTTGTAAATATTTAGCCTAATGCTTCTGACTGATAATGACCGAAGCACAACTAGATTAATTTGACACTAATGCAATATAATATGCAAAACAAATTATATATATTTAGCTTAATAATCATTCATATATATGGAATTGAGACAAATAGGCAAATTGTAATAGTAGTGGACAAAAATATGAAGCTTTTATAACTTGAATAAATCTTCAAAAAAAAAAAAAAAACTCGCTTTGATATTTTTTCTTTCCTTTCGTTATTGCACATCATTACATAGGTGTTGTTATTAGGACTGTACTTGAGATTAACAACCAACTAATCTACTTCATCTTTTGAATAAGTTCTAGCAATAAATAATACATATAAATGAGAGGCATTAGTATGATATAATAATGTTCAGGGGAGTGTTGTAAATAAATAAATGTGAATATTTTAAAGGGATCATATTTGGATAATTGGATAATATTTCTTTATCCTTTATAGATTTATAGTTGTACTAGATCGAATTATGTATATCCTGTATATAATGGATATTTATAGTTATATTAGAATTATGTATATCATTCTTCTTCTCTCAAAAAACTCCATGGATGAATAATAAAGATTTATGATTCTCTCTGTATTCTTGTCTCTTACTCTACTCTGTTGTTTTCCTGAGTTTGCCAAATTTTAAAAACTTCATATTTTTGTTTACTAATTACTACTACTAACATTTGCGTATTTGTTTCAATTTGCCTTCATATATATACACCCCGCCCGGCCCCCTCTCCGCTAACCTTTCTTCTCCAACCACAAAACTAAACCAAAGGCAGGCAGGCTTCATTATCTCAAAAAAATGGTAGGATCAATATCCTCCTATACTAGCTAGCTAGCTAGTTTTTTGTTGTACAATATATGCAATTAAGTTGATAATAGGTTAGGTTAGTGTTAAGTAATTAGTAGCATGTAACATGTTTTTTACATCTCACCTGTCGTGATTCTAAATGATATGATGCATATACAGGTTTTGGTTGATGGCGGCCATGGTGATGAGAAAGAAGGTGCGGCAGCGGAAAGTCCGGTAGACTATCGTGGGAATCCGGTGGATAAGTCGCGAACCGGCGGATGGCTGGCTGCCGGCCTCATCCTAGGTACGGTCGCCATTTTTATTAGCTTCGTTCTGCAACTTTCGATCTCTTTGTTGTGATTATTCTGGATCTGTTTTTCTGCAGGGACGGAGCTTTCAGAGAGGGTTTGTGTGATGGGAATCTCCATGAACTTAGTGACGTACTTGGTCGGAGATTTACACCTCTCCTCCTCCAAATCCGCCAACGTTGTCACTAACTTCATGGGCACGCTCAATATCCTCGGCCTCCTCGGCGGTTTCTTGGCGGATGCTAAACTCGGCCGCTACTTGACCGTCGCCATTTTCGCTTCCGTCGCTGCTCTCGTACGTATACGTCTAACCACAAAACCAAAATCACCTGCCTTATATTAGCTTTCACATTCACATTAGTTGTTTAACAATTCATTAGAGAAATATATAAGACTAGTTAATTTGTTGGATTCAATCTTTTTAGTATTTAAAAATTCTTGAGATAAAAGACTGGATTAAACATATGAAGTTATAAGACTAGATAATTGGTTGGATTCAATTTTTTTAGCTGTTTTGTTTTGAGGTTGCAGGGGGTGACGCTGCTAACGCTTGCGACGTCGATTCCGAGCATGGTACCGCCGCGGTGCGACCCTCGGAAAAGCCATGAGTGCATTGAAGCGAGTGGGCGGCAGCTAGCTCTGCTCTACATAGCGCTTTACACCATAGCTCTGGGCGGCGGAGGAATCAAATCCAACGTGTCCGGGTTTGGGTCGGACCAGTTTGATGCGTCGAATCCGAAGGAGAACAAGGCCATGATATATTTCTTCAACAGGTTCTACTTCTGTATCAGCCTGGGATCCCTGTTTGCCGTGACGGTGTTAGTGTATATACAGGACAATGTGGGGAGAGGGTGGGGGTACGGCATCTCCGCCGCCACCATGGTAATCGGCGTCGCCGTTTTGCTCGCCGGCACCCCCATGTATAGATTCAAGAAGCCGCAGGGAAGCCCTTTGACTGTGATTTGGAGGGTTCTGTTCTTGGCCTGGAAAAGAAGAAATCTTCATTATCCTTCTGATCCCACCTTTCTCAATGAATTTCACACCGCAAAGATCCCTCACACTCCCAGGTTCAGGTATGTGTAATAATTCAGATACACCTAACACTTTTTTTTTTTTTCTTTTCACATTCTATGATTAAATTATAATAATATAATTTAGAGTAAGTAATTGATTTGATTTGATTTGATTTGTTGAGTTTGGGCGTGAAACGTCGGGCCAAACTTAAAATAGTAACGTACTCATAATTTGGATCCTATCTTTTACATTGCTACATGGCACAAATTTGGACAAATTAGAAAGCAAGGACCACCCCCAGTCCCCACCCACCACATGCAATATAATGAGATATCATCTTCTGAATGCATCAGAGTATCCTTAGCGCAAAGACATCTCATGTTCCTGACAAAAAATCATGGTTTAGTGACAACTAATTAAATAGTACAATACCAATTAGTGATATGCATAGACAGTAACATTGTTAGCCTATCAATTAATTTTGGCTTATCTGATCACTATTAGCTATTTGACTTTGTTAAATATAGCTCATATAAGTGTTTGATTAATTGCATGTTCCAAGCAGGTGTCTGGACAAGGCGGCGGTTGTGGATGAGTACGCGGCGGCGGAAGGAAACAGGAACAACCCCTGGATAGTGTCAACCATGACTCAAGTTGAAGAAGTGAAAATGGTGTTGAAGCTGATTCCCATTTGGTCAACATGCATACTCTTCTGGACAGTTTACTCTCAGATGAACACATTCACCATCGAGCAGGCCACCTTCATGAACAGAGAGATGGGCAGCTTCGAAATCCCGGCAGGCTCCTTTTCCTTCTTCCTCTTCATCACAATCCTCCTCGTCACCTCCATGAACGAGAGGGTCACCGTCCCTTTCGCCAGAAAGTTCACTCACACCGTGCAGGGAATCACCAGCCTGCAAAGAGTCGGGGTGGGGCTCTGTCTCTCCATTGCCGGAATGATAGCTTCTGCTCTGGTGGAGAGGCAGCGCAGGGAATATGCAGTGCACCACGGTTCCAGAATCAGTGCATTCTGGCTGGTTCCCCAGTTCTTCATTGTCGGCGCCGGAGAAGCTTTTGCCTACGTTGGGCAGCTCGAGTTTTTCATCAGAGAGGCGCCGGAGGGGATGAAGTCCATGAGCACTGGGCTGTTTCTCAGCACGCTTTCAATGGGGTATTTTATCAGTAGTCTGCTGGTGACAATTGTGGGGAAGGCAAGTAAAGGGAAATGGCTAAAGAGCAATCTCAACAAGGCTAAACTCGATAACTTCTACTGGATGTTGGCCGTTCTGGGAGTGATAAACTTCCTGGTTTTCCTCCTTTTCGCGGCGAGACACCAGTACAAGATGCAGCCCAGAAGCCTCATCTCAGAGGCTTCGGCAGAAGATCTCAAGAATGAGAAGGAGATGATGGCTGTTGAGGACAAAGAAAAACAGTTCATCATCAGCTCTGAGTCAAAGGAGGTAGCTTAATGGGTTTTCAGTTGGTGTTGGGTTCTGTTCCAAATTCAGCAAAACCAACATTCTTAGACTCCAAATATAATATAGAAGATTTGTTAAAATCCAAGTTCTGATCTGTCAGAAGTATATGTGATCATCAATTGTTGTTGCTATTTTTGAGTTTTGTTTCATTTCCACATTGCATTGTAAAGTGCATGCAGTAGCTAGTAATGTAAGATGTCAGCTTATAAACTTTCTTTTCAAGACTGTTGTAGTAGAAAATTTTCATTCAGATAATAGGAGCAGTTAACTGGGGGATCAAACATGAAAGATATTCACATATTAGGTTTGATAACTTGGTGTTTCTTACCAATAAGAGGGTATCCAGCCAAGTTGGTCAGACTGTTTGCCAATTGGCCTTCTTAGTTTGAGTCGATCAACTATGAATAGTTTAAGTTATATCTTTTTATGGTAATTTTCCAGTTAGGATCACAAGACAAAATTTACGTCAGGCACACCCTCTGATAGTGGTCGCAGGTTTCCTCATCATCCAAAAAAAGGTATTCAATTCTTTGATTCTACACTTAAATGTGAATATTATGATAGATAGGTGAATTGTTAGGGTAAGCCATGCATATGTATTGGTGGAGTAGTCATTTTAGTCCCTTTGATTTGGACACTACCTTTTTCATCTTTCGTTTTTCCATAATGTTGTGACGCTTTCAGTCCCTGCGTTTAGTGGCTATTATAATTTTGTCATTTATTTCGTTACATGTAAAAAAGAGATTTTAAGTGAACGTAAATCATTTATTGGTGTTGATAACTACTCCCCTTTGACAGAGATGTTTCAAAACAAAGAGATTGAAACAACTATATTACCAAAATATAGAGATAAACATTGCCATTTTCCTGAATTATTATGACCTTTATTTAGGAAGAGAATTGCCAGATGATCCAATCTTGGAAAACTTTTACACAATAGGATTGAAGAAAATGGAAGTTGAACAGCTGAAAAAGACACTTGAGCTCCCTTGAGTTTGATATAGTCCACACATATTTGATGTCAATTCTGAAAGAGAAGCCAAAAGAGAGAAGATAAAGATAATTCAGGTTCATGAATATGGTCAAGGATATCCTTCATTGTTTTACAGTATTAGGGAGGGCAAGCAAGAACAAAAGAATAGATAAGATCAGTTATGAGTCATGGTCCAGTTTCACCAAACAAAAAAAACAGTGATTAATAGCCAATTGGATGCATAGAAGAGACTAATTTATGGCTTTTAATTTGTTGAGAATGAAGAACACTAGATGCAAGGCTAAATGTTAAAACTTATTTTCTTTGCGTATTGCACTTATGTCTGCATTACGCGAGACGTACTATAAAGCAAACGTTTTGAAAATCCTGAAATCAGTCATTGATTATGCTGATCCTGTCATGTACCAGCTGCATTTGACTGGAGTTGTTATGGTAAGCAAATAAATTTACACACATAATAAAATTTACTCAATAGATTGCATAATAATGGGGAATAAAACATGACTTTTTTTGGGGTGTTTGGTAAATAGTCGATAGCTGTTAGTTGATTGAGTGAGTGAATTTGAGTAGTTGATAGCATTAGCTGATTGTAGAAAGATGTTTGGTAAATTAACTGTTAGTTGATAATTGATTACATGCAAAATGATTTTTTAAAAATAAAAATAAAAAATTAATCGAAAAAGCTGCTTTGAACAATTTTTTGAATTTAAGCATTTTGGTGCAATAAGCTATTACAAAAAATTAATTAATTGAACATTAATATTGAATATTTAACCTCAAACAGTTAATACTAATCAAATAAGTCAAAATTAGTTAATAACCTAAGTGTTTGGCTTTTACTTTTTGCATATGTAGGTGTGATTTCTAATGGTCCAATTTTAAGAAACCCCACATGCATAGGGACCACTTTATATTGCGCATGGTAGAAATTCCTCAACAACAACCCCCCCACCCACCCCCCACACTCCCCCCCCCCACCCCCAACCCCAAATTATATATACAGGCATGCTACCAACCAGACAATATGTAAGAGTTGGCTTGGCCTTGTCCCACCTTATTCACTCATTCAATTCGCTGGAGATTACAGGACAGGGAATTTCATATTATATATATGCATTTATTTGCATATAAGTATATAACACTGATACATTATCTAATGGTGTACAACCTTAACTGACAAAAGCTCACAATAAGTTATCCATAATTAACCAATTCAAAAAAAAAAAAAAAAAAAAAAATCAATAAGTCACTCTTACTAAAATCAAACTTATAACTTTATAATAATTACAATATCAATCGTTTGACCAATTTAGCTAAGTTATACCCATATATGTATTTAGTTGATTCTTGAGAATGTGAAGTTCTGGTAGGCAAATGAAGGTATTTGGAAATATGAATAAACCCCTGAAAATCCATTCTGGAATTTAAACCTATTCATTCAAGCATGTTTCTGCTAATCATTAACTTGTCAAATGTAGTGAAATTGATGGGTGTTGGGTGTTGGTCAGATCAAAAAAAAAAAAAAAAAAAAAAAAAAAAAAAAGCTCAAGAATGGCCTGGGACCACCAATGTGATCCACATAATCAAACATGATTTAGATACAAAACACAGAATCTGACCCTGATTATCTCTTGTCCGGGTTTTGTAATTCCTGCTGTCATTACTGTCCTCAATGCCTGCCCTCTTCTCCCTGCAATCTCTATTATGAAGCAGCAAGGCAGCAAGGAGAATGCTGACATTTCCACCATTGGGGCGCCACTGCAACTGCATCCTTTACTGCTAAATATTTATATACAACCAAAAAGAAGAAAAAAAAAAAGAGAGAGACATGTAACAGTTAACTGTCTGCTCCACTTTGTGTTCTGCAATGCAATCTCCAGCTATTCCCTCTTTTAGGTCACAAGAATTAACATTCAATGGGGGAGTATGAACTGGAGTTGTATCCCAGTCTAGTCAAAACACATTTTATAAATTAACAAAGTCGCCATTATAAACTTAGAACAGCCTCTGGCTTGTTGATAAGCCAGTCAGTATCTTCTCGGCACTGTACATGTCCAGAATACAACAATACTCGAGCGAAGCTGGAGAGTAAAATCCTCTGCTCGCTGCTCATTCATTCATTCATTCATCTCTTTCTGCGTTTTGTCTCCACCTACAATTGTATCAATCGAAGGCAGATAAGACACCAAACAACTTTCAATTTTCTTTAGTTTCTAACAACAAAGTCCCAGCACATGCTGACACACATATATAGATACATATTATCTATCTAGTCCCAGAACATGCTGACACCTTGTTTTTAATAGCAAAATCATAGTTATCAATTAGCATCATAACAAGCACCATATATAAGTTAATGATTTATGAGAGAGTGCAACTCAGAAGACATTTTATATAACGACATTGTACAATAATTAGGAGAAGAGGATCATAGAAAAGCAGAATAGAAAACCTTTGTAAGTGTTTCAACCTATCAAGAGAAAATATGATAGCCCTATGTCACATTGCATGGACATCCTCACTTTATCAAACAAAAGCGCACACATCTTCAAGCAAAACACTTGTATAACAAGGAAATTGGCTTTAATTCCCATGTTTCAATTAAAATCCCTACTTCCAGACCCCTAATACTAAGCTGTTAGTACAAAGCTGAACAACTACAACTTCTTAGGAAAAAAAAATGAAACTTTATTATGGTGAAGTATGTACTCTCACCTTATGCTCAATAGATGGTGATCCATGAAATGAGTTCAACGGCCGTTTAGGTTCCTCCTCTTCTGCTGAACAGTCTGAACACAAGAAATGTGCTAATTTTTTTGCTTCCTCAATGGTCATACCCATACAGGAGGGATGAAACCTGAAATGTTTACAATTCTGTTAAACATGAGAAGATAACTGAGCATCGTATTTAGTAAACTGCATAGAACTCTATGATAGTTAAATTCAGAGAGCTCTATGATACCATAGCTTTTTTAGGTATGAGAAACCTTGAAGAGAGTGATCCTGTTGCCATCTATAGCAATCAAACCTAAGTGCATATAAAGTATGGAGTCCTCTAATTAGCTCATACTCCCTTTCTCTAGATTTTTGGATAGTCCTGGTTAGGTTTAATGGTTAACCTCCATTCTTCTCCAGAATGGATTAGCTCACATTTCCTCCTTAGTACATTCCAAAAATGTTGTCTAATTTCCTAAAATAAACACCAAAAACAATTCTACTATCCTACATTAACCTTCTCACTTCATCTTTACCCAAGTGTAACTAGAAGTCAAAAACTTATCTAGGGCTTTATGGGCAAGAGGAAAATTATAAACTTTTATCCACTATTCTTAAAATGAGTGTATACACTATACTAGACCTTTTTTCAGGGACAGGGGGTATATTCTTTTAATGCTGGGCGAAAATTGAAGAACAATTAATTTCTAATTGTGGTCTTGAACCACAAAGAAGTGTTTCAAGGAGAATTTCATTCAGATAACTGACTTCTTGAAGTAATCAGTGTGCACTTATTGCAGAAAATTGTTGGTTAAGTGAAGAAACAATGAAAAACAAACAGAGATAAACCATGTATGGCACTTCAATCTTAATGACCTTTATGCCAATGGAAGCTTCTTTAGTGTTTATTGACCAAATTAATTTTGTTCTAAAACAGGATATATAAGATGACACTATGCAATTCCCTTCCCTCTTTCCTCTCAAATGCAGCAAATATCTAGCCACCCAAATCAGTTCTCCCCACACAAACCATAATACCATCAGTAAAAGGAAAGGTACATAAAGTTGCTGCATTGAAATGTAAAGATAGAGATGAAAACGGAAAACAATGTTCTCACCAGTCCTTGCATCCTTCGCATTGTACCATGAGATCATCAGGATTATAAGGCATCTCACACTTGCAATATCTTTAGAAAGATGAGAGTAGTCACTAGTCAGCAGAGTAGCATTGCCTCAAATTTCCACTTAACACAACAGTTTTTTTTAAAAATAAGTTCTCTAGCAGCGGGATGAGAAACTCACACAGCTACGCGATCCGGAGTGAACCCTCCCGTAGCAGCTTTGTACTCAAATCTACAGAAGTAATCCTCAGGGCCCACATTCTCCAGCTTGGTATAGTTCTTGAAAGAATGCACAATGCACTTGTCCTCAATTGTGTGTGCACTCTGAATATCATAGTGGTCTGACAGAAATAGCTCCTTGGCTCCATGAAACTGCCTGCGGCCACCCATGGACTCCTCTGGGCGGTAGTACCACCTCACTCGCACCTTCACATTATTCCGGTGGTCGGCCTCGATCTTCTCGACTCTAGCAACATATGGGGGCTTATCTGAATCTGATGGCCTCATTAATACACAATCCCCAGCTGAAAAAGAAACACATACTTTTACCCCTTAATAATCCTCAAAATAAAAGAAGAAATAAAATTCAATCCACCGATAGAAATGAAAAGCAATCCAAAATCAACTAAATAGGCTAAGAAATCGATACATAGCTCAAAAAATATACATTCTACATGTTCGCCCAAATTTTAGTCATATCAATACATCTATATAACAAAAAGCATAGAGCTTTAAGATGAAAATCGAAAATTTAGCTCATCTGAGAGAGTTAAGAGTAGAGAAGTATGTTGATTGTTTACGTCTGACAACTTTATTGGTGCCTTTGATGGTGTAAGAGTCGAGGTCCTTCTTCCCCGGTTTCGTCTTCGCCATCACCAGCTCCTGTTTAAGCTCAGTCCGAACTCAAAAGAAAAAGGCTAAAAAAGGCTCAAGAGTATACAGAGGAGAAAGAGAGTGCGTTCTGGATATTTGTAGAGAGAGAAAGCAATCAGGTGAGATATGATTGTTACAGTAGAAAATGGAAATGAAGTAGTCGGAAGTAGACAGGCAGAAACCCTAGATGCTGGTTAATCGGGAAGAGCATCTGGAAAGATAGAGAGATATAGAGAGAGAGAGAGAGAAGGCGTTGGAGAAGGGCCGGAAAGGCCGGGTTCTATTCCAATGCGGACTATAACTTTTCGGACGCATATGCATCCCTTTTGGATCGCCTCTCGAATGATTTTTTTTAAAGGTCAAATAAGGACTTCAATTTTGCACAAAGTGTCATTAGACTTAATTTTTTTGAAAAGTATAATACTCTTAACATATTAAAATTAATCAAATAAATCTAGTTTACCTATAAACATGATGTTGTTGACCACCACTAACTGTCGTTAACTGTCACGATTAGAGAAAAAATTGGCGACCAACAAACGGTCGACGGTCACATTATTTGAAAAAGACGACCTAGTTGTTGGTCGCCATCTCAGTCTTCTCCCATTAGAAGGCAAGCAACTGGCGACCGTTCAAAGTCACTGGTTGCTGGTATTAATTCTCACAGCATCGCCGAAGTAGTTTAGAGTGTTGCAGGAATCTAATGACATGCTATTATAAGTCATTGAAAGCTAGGTTTTTGAGTTTCAATGCATCAAATATAATGTTTACGAACTAAATTGCACTTCGAGTACCGTTTATGTACCTAATTGACTCTCTTCGCCGGAAAATTTTAATAATTAAAATAATAAGGGTATTTTGGTCGTTTCACGCCTCTTTTCTTCTTCTCCGGCTAGTCCATCCCTTTCTCTCCCGTTTTCGGTGTTCTTTCTCCTTGTAAACCCTATCTTTAATATCATTAAGCCTCCTTTCCACATCATCTTAGTTCATTTCATTTGTCGGAAACAGGAGAGGAAGAGATGGACTCGCCTGGGAAGAAGAAAAGAGACGTGAAATGATCAAAATATCTTCACTATTTTAACAATTAAAATTTTCTGGCAAAATTTGGCCGGTAATTTGACAGGAGTGACCAAAATTGACAAAAATTACACAGTTAAGATACTAAATTGACACTTTTAAAAGTCAGGAATTTAAATTAACAAGACCCCTATAATCATAGGATCAAAATTGAAATTTCCTCTATTATGTTTTTAAAATTTATGTAAGGTTACACTTCAATTCTGAGTACTTCCACTACTTCTGTGTTTAAAACTTGGTAGATGAGATTTTTTATTTTTTTTAATAATGTGCTTGTTATTATTTGATGTGATACAACATTATCGAAAAGATGTTTAAAAAAAAAAACTATTAAAATGTCAAGAACACCAATAATATCTTAATTACCTACTTGATATGTAGCTCGATAAATGTCAAGAGCCGCTGCAGTAGGTGTTGTGGTATGGGATTCCATTGGAGACTGAATTGGTGGTTTATCTATGGGAGTAAGATTGGATTAGAAATTAGTCTCAGAAAATTAGGCAATATATCATAAATATTAAGTTGACAAAGTATTTTTGTTCACGCGAAATTCGAAAGTAATTGACATATAGTCGTTATTAAATTAAGAATTCATTAGATTGAAGCGGTCTCAGTTTCTATCTAATAGAAGCAATTGGAGGAATTATTCAATGACATTCAATGTGCTAAATAAAATGACTATTTTATTTATAAACTAGAAACTATGGTGTTCGTTTTATTTTATAAATAAGTGCACCCAACCTTAAGAGCTTTCACCGTGTCTGTCTTAGAGACTTGAAGGAGATGTTTTTTTTTTTTTCTTGAAAATATATTTTTAAAAATTCATCAAAAATGTTAATAATGTCAATAACAATTTACTTGATATGTAACTCGATGAGTGGCGAGTTGTTGCAGTAGATGGTGCGGTAAGGGATTACATTGGGAAGTGAATTTGTCGTTTATCTATGGCCATAAGATCTGACTAGAAATCAATCTTAAAACTTTATGCAATATATGATGGATTTTTGCTAAGTTGGCAAAGTAGTTTTGTTTGTGTGGAACTCAAGGGTAATTCAAATGCATCCACTATCAGGACAAGAATTCATTATGGCCCTGTTTGGTAAAAAAATTGGCCTATAGGTCAATTTTGACTTATTTGACCACTATTAATTGTTTGATTTAGTTAAAATATCAATATAAATATTTGGTTAATTAGCTTTTTGCAACTCCAAAAGGCTAAAATTAAAAAAGCTACTCCTAGCAACTTTTTCGATTAGCTTTTTGAGAAAAGAAATTATACCAAACAGCTAATTTACCAAACACTTTTCTACAATCAGCTAATGTTATCAACTATTTATACCCTCTAATTAACACAATCAGCTAACAGCAAACAGCTATCAGCTAACAGCCATTTTACCAAACAGGGCCATATATCTAAGAGGTCTCAACTTCCATCTAATAGAAACGATTAGAGAATTTATTCATGAAATAATTATCAAAAAGGCCACTCAATTACATACTAAATTAAAATTAGGTCATTAAACTAAAATAAATAAATAAAAACAATTGGGTCACTGAACAACACAAACTCTTGCAATTCAATAAAAAAATGACATGATGCAAACCAAGTCCTAAACCACCAGCATATGCTAGGAATAATACTAGTGGTACGTGGAATACATTATTAATTTTGGGTGGTTGAAGTGAGTCAAAGTTCCTTTCAAAAAAAACCCAACAGGCCACCCCTCCCCTCCACTAAACCCGAACACCTCTTTGAAATCTATATATGTCACCGTAGCTTTATTCCGCCCTAGCAAAACGCAGACAAATTATAAGAACTCATTTAAAGCAGAAATTTTCCGGGTATGGTGGCGGCGGCTCATAGGTGGCCGTGGGGGATACATGCAGCGTCAGAATAATTATATTAGATGGGTAATATCTGTGATTTGTTAAATAAAAGACCAAATAAACAACAATAATTATATAAATAGATATTTTTATACTTATATCTTTTTTATTACAAAAAAATAGCCCAAATAAAATAAAATAAAAGGAAGTGGGGTTCAAACCAGGGTGGTGCTTGATTACAAAATGCCGATCTGGTCTTTTTCGGTTTTCACTCCGCCCCTCCTGTCCATCTCGATCTTCACTGTGATGATAGACTGATAGTGACGGTAACGAGGAAGCTGGGCGAGGTTCCAAACCCATACCACCACTGCTTTTTTTTTTTTTTTATCAGAGGCATCATTTCTAATTCTACTCACACTCATGATAGGATTAAGATTCATAAATCTTAGGAGGTAGATTTGGTAGGTTTTTAAGATTCATAAATCTTAGGAGGTAGATTTGGTAGGTTTTTTTTTTTAGTGGTCAGAGAAATCTGTAATTACTTAAATTGTGAACGGTTCAAAATTTTAAATTAATAGGGCAATAGGTCACACTCAAGACAGATCTATGGTGGGAACGATTGTTCCCTCTCTCCCGCTCTATGCTTATGTATAGAGGCTCCTTGTGTATTATATATAAAATAAATGCTTACACATAAGTAAGTATTACTGATGTAAATTACTCAAAAATGAACTGAGTCGTTAGCTTAGGTGGTTCGTTTTAATCTTTCACCCCACTGAAAACAATTTATGATTTCGCTATTGGCTATACCAATTTATCTAACCTATCAATTCAACTTGATTTGCGTTGCCCTCATTAGATCTGATAGTTTGATTTGATCTGAAATCATACCACATACACTATTCCTGGATTGATTATGGTAGACTAACATGGCTGATTTAATTTGTACAACACTCCAAAAAGTGATGCTATAAAATTTAAAAATTAAAGCTTCAGAAATCAAGAATCAGATTGGAAGTAGCTAATTCCTGAGCTGTTAGTCCTGTTACCACTAGTTCAGGCCAAAACCAAAACTGGACCTCCGACTAATTAAAATATTTACACCCAACAAATATCAAAGTCCCATTCCAAATAGTCCACATCACTGAAATCCCCAATCAAACGCACCATGAAATACTAACTAGGAAAAATGATATTTTTATCCTTCAATTATAACTATAATGTAATTTATTTTTTTCCGAGTATTATTGACTCCATTTGAATGTAATTTTACTTCTTTAGTTATTCATAATTCATAGTGTAGATTTATTATCAAAGTGACAGATTCCATTCTTAAGCGATTAAATTTAGAACTTTGTTAAATTGTGTCAAGACAGGTCATGACCCCCAGTTCTCTTCATATATAAGTTTTAGATGTAATTGAAAATGAAATTTTGAAAGAAATTGATATAAAGAATATGGTCAATGATTTGTATCTAAATATACATGAAAAATGTCACTTTAACGTTAAATTTTGACATGTATTTTTATTTATTGAATATTTTATGCATTATGTTTTGACAAAAGTTAAAAAAAAAAAAACAAATATTACATTTTTATTTTATATTTACACTTATATAATAAAAAGTGCTTAAATTCAACAATTAAACATGATCATTATTTTTTTAGGATCGGCCTTGAGTGGCAAGACAAATCCATTAATTTGGTAACAATTTATATTATAGACATAACTGAGAAACTAAAAGTGTTATTACCCCTATTATATTAACTATAATTATCTAATAAAAAAATAGGATCACAATAATTATTAACTCATCAAAAGATTAGGCTAGATTCAACGTGTATTATTATTGATTTTAATTACAAATTTGTAAAATGGAGATGGCAGAGCCCTGTTGTGTCCTTTTTGCCCTCATATACTCCAAATTAAAGACAATATAGTCCTTTGGAAAAAATTGAAAAGTTAGGAGAAAAAGAAAAGTGAAAGTGTTTAGATCAAAACGGGAAAGGCTCTTTTCCTATTTATAGTCAATGGGAGGAAAAGATGTTGAACCAGGAATCGGAAGTGATTCCTTAATTAATTTAACCTCCATACATTAATTATAAAACATTGTATTACCAAAAATGTGATCCTTCGACCACATACATATGTTGCATGTAACTGCCGACACGGCCACGCCGCTAAATCACACTCAACTTTTGGTTCCATTTTTAATGGGTTAAGGGTCAAATTAATTACTAAAAAAATTAATTCAGGCATAAAAAGTTTAGTAACAAGTTAATGTTGAATTCGCACTAATTTAGCTTCCATGTCAGTTATATCGTGTATCTAGCACAATACACATAATTTGACTTCATAATGTATAGAATTCATGTTCATAATGTACATAATTTTTATGTTCATAATACACATACACATAAACATGATATAATGAACATGAATTCTGTGTATTATGTTAAGTGTTTATGTGTCTTCATCATTATATTGTGTTCATGTGTATGTGTATTATGAACATAAATTCGTACATTATGAACATGAATTCTGTACAATATGAAATCAAATTTTGTGTATTGGATCTGGGTCCACAGTGGAATATAAATTGCCCTAATTTGGAGATCATTTGTTCTTCTAAAAAATATCAACAATACATTTGAAAAAAGAAATTAAAAATTTTAAAAACACTTACACACTTCTTGTGAAATTTGGGCTCCTTCTCCCGACAAGCAAAAAAAAAAAAAAAAAAAAAAAAAAAAAGAGGTCAAAATTTAGCCACAGTGTTATCTAACCCTGCGAGAGTAACTGCCCCCCGCATCCGCCTTGATTAACTCATCAAGCCCCTCGGGATGTCTTCAAGAATATTTGTGCCCTAGTTACCTAATTACCCCATATTAGCCAGCCAACCAGTGCAGCTATTTCCTTCTCTAACAACATGTTGGAGCACAATGCCATGAAAACCCGCGATATGGAAACGCAATCCATGATTAAGTTGGATCTTAACCCCCCCTCCCCCCCCCCCCCATTATCCTTATTGTTAATGATTTTGACCACGGCCTCCGCGTCCAGCTCCACTTCCACCCTCGCATAACCTAAATCCGTCAGGAGCCATAGAGGTTCTTGTCCATAAAGTTGGACAAAAGATATGTTATATTAAGCGCTTATTATTATACTAAAAGTTATAACTAGTAGCGAATACATAATTTGAATTTTCATGCTTGTATAACAATTAGTGTCACATTTCAATGATAAGATGATGAATTCACTATCTCCAAACCTCTGCCTAATAGTATCCATGGTGGTCTTCATCTAAAATGTGGACCATCATTGTGATTGATAGACAAAATAGTACAATTTTCATCTAAAAGTATTATATTTTTCATCAAAAGTATCATTTTTTCCCACATAAGTAGTACATTTTACTCAAAAGTGACAATAAATTAATTTATCTAGGATTAGTATAGCTTTTTTTTCCTCCTAAATAAATTATTCAACCCCTAAGTATTACATTTTGATTTAAAAGTATCCATTTTTCTCAAAAGTATTACACTTCCTCTTATAAGTAATAAACACTTTATTGCTAATATTATATATTTTTTTCAATATAAATATTACGTAGTACATTTCTATCTTGATTTGACTCATCTCACAAAAGACTCACCATTTATTTTATTAGCCAAGACGTTAAGAGAATTCAAGACTTTTTTAATATTAATATACTTAAACATGGGTGAAATTATATTTAGAATTAAAAATTAACGAATTTTTTTTACATATACTGAATTTTTAAAAAATGTGTATTTTTAATTCTAAAAAAAAAAAAAAAAAAAAAAAACCTGCTCCAAGGCTCCACCACCAATTCCAAAAATGAAATATCCGGTACGATTTAAGAATTTACGTGGAATAATCCGGTTTTAAGTAATCGAGCGAGGAAATTACAAAAATGGCCCTCATCCCATTACAGTATTGCACGTAATACCCCCCATATAATTTGTCCAGTGAGTCAGTGACCCTTTCTGAAAAGCTATTCTTACCCACAGCAGCACTTAACATGTTCACACAACCAACCCTAAAAAAAAATATGATTATTATGCAGCCATGTATGTGTATATATGCATATATATATTTGCCATCTACTGAGCTAATTATGTTCCTTAATCACAGTATTCGGAAAAATTAAGGATTTGAAATTCAATGTATCATGCAAATGTCTGACACGAGACGGCATTACAGTTTACAAGACAATAGACAATATTAGCAAAGATTGAAATTAGAGATAATAATGGGAAAATTAAGCTAATGTGTGTTCTTACATGAGTGATTTCAAGGACCTTGCTTTAATTGGTTTGCGGGCTTTCTTCCTTTTGCCGTCATCGAACTCGTCTTCTTCATCGTCGTCCTCGTATTCGTCTTCCACATAGTCGAATTCCCGGTCATCCATTTCCGAAGCGGAGGAGCTTGCTCCGTTGTTGGCTTGATCATGCTCGGAGGCGGCGCTGCTGGTTGTGCCGCTTGCTCTCCCGGGGCCTCTCTTCTTGCCCCAGAGCGGGCCGAAGCCGGTGTAGTAGTATAATTCGTACGGATTGGTGGATACCGAGGGCTTCTTCGGCCGGGTGCGGCGGCAGCGGGAGTCGTCCGCCGGAGGCGGAGGCGTCTGTTTCTCGGATTTCTTCGCGGCCGCCGTCTTGGTAGGGTGAGCCAAGTTGTTGTAGTGCTTGAGCTGCTCTAAGTGGTGGTCGCAGAAGGCGTGGCCGTCTTTGGCCTCTCTCTTGCATTGCCACGCCTTCCCGTCCGTCTTGCAGCACAAAATCGCGGCTTCCTCCGCCTCTGCTGCCGCGCCCTCTTCCGCGGGGGAATAGCCGGCCGCGGCGGCGATACGGTTGGAGTAATCCCATCCCGGCGAGAGCATCGCGGAATCGGGGCTGAGAAAAATCCGGCAATAGAGCATTACAGTGCAGGCTAAATGTCGTATAATCGAGAAATTACGATAAACCGTAAAGAAATAAATCGGAAATGGATCTCGATAGTAAAACCCTAAATATCGTCTGAGAACCAGAAAAAAAAAAATGTGGAAAAGAAGGGACGAAATAAATGAAATTGATTCAACGCCGCCGGAACTAACCTCTGAACAGCTTCATTAGAATCGTTAAAACTCCCATTTGGGGGGTAGCTTTCGCATCCGTCGAACTGCAAGCAGAAATTTATGGATGAAAACACGAAGAGAAAAATGAAAATAATAAGCGCTATAAATGGGAAAATAGGGCAAAACAGAGAAAACAAATGATAGGAATCGAGTAAAAAGGAAGGAAACCACGACGGAAACGGCGAGATTTGGTGGCCTTCCTGAACCCTAAAGAGAGGTTTCCAGAATACCCTAAAGAAGATAAACCAAACCACACCAAACAACAAAGAAAAAAATAAAGCAAAAACCACGAAATGTCCAGTGGCGGATCTGCAAAAAGCAGGAAGAGAAGAGATTGATTGGCTAACCAGAAAGCTATGCGGCGGCGGCGGCGGCGGTTGCGCAGGAGGAGGAGGAAGCAACTTCGACGACGAGCCTTCCTCTTGCTCTTCTGGAGGAAAGGTGATGACGTCCCACGGCGACTGATTGAGCTGGCAGATATGAGCGTGAAGGAGGGCTCCAGCCTCCAAGGACGAGGCGGCGTACGTGAGAGGTGACACCTTCGCATGCTTCCTTATTCTCATGGCGGAAACCTCACTTTTTTTTTTTTTTTTTCTTTTTTCTTTCGTTTGGTAGAGAGAAAGAGTTGAGTTCAGATAGAGATAGAGAGAGAAAGAGAGGTGTACTTTGCGAGTGTGAGTAGATCCAAACCACCTTTTTTTATTTTCTTTCTGCCTATTTATATACTTATATTAATCTTTTTTTTTTATTATTATTTTTTAAAATCTATGTTGGCTGAACAGGGTTAAATCTCTGGATAAACTTTACTGTGCTGCTAGGATATCAACCGGGAGTTATTAACCTTTGTCTTGCACTCCTGCCCACCCTTCATACGTTTGTGACTTGTGAACACAATAAATTAATAAATAAAAATGTTAACTATTTACTTCTCCCGAATTTATTTCTCAATGTGACAAAATACATATACATCTTCATATTTTAACTTAAAGTAAATATAAATATCTTGATTCTTGACTGTTATAGTTTTATATCATTCTCTATAATTTTTTATATAATTAAAAAAATAAGCTTGACCTTAATTGATGCGTTTCATGTCTATACTTGAGAGTGTTTTAGTTAATATGACAAATATGTACTATTAGACTAACTTGTGTGGTCAGGTTAATATCTTTCGAATTAGTTTATAATCTAGATAAGGGCTAAGATATTGTGACCATGCTAACTTTACATGTTTTGTTTTAAGTTTTTAGATGTACGTGAAGAGATTAACTACTTTACTCTAACACATAGTAAATAAGGTAAATCCAACTTTCAGTCAAGTTAGTAAGTCGGTTGACTTGGTAATTATAAAGTATTAAGTTTTATTTTTATAAGAGCCACCTACTCAAGTTGATTTAATCTGGAGTCCACCTTAAAATAATTTGTATCAACCAAATATACAGTAGCAAATTTTATTAAAAGTGTAATAATATACAGGAGATTTTAAAAAGAAGAAAAAAAAACGGGAATATTTATAATTTTCGAAAGTGTAATAGGGCACTGTTTTTATTATCCATTGAAATAAAATAAATTAAAAAATAAAAAGGTAATGTTTTGTGGGGCTTTGATATCACTAGCTAGCTCATAGCATCGCAGGACGGCAGGAGTATCTCAGCAACGAAATGTGGTTGCGTGGGGGCCAGTGAGATGACATTTGTATATTTGGCCCACACTTTGAAGTTTTTTTGACTCTCTCATTTGTTTCTACAACGAACTATTTCTTTTTCTTTTTATTTTTTTTAAGTAACAACTACGGAGTAACTATTTCTGAATAGGAAAATTGGAAAATGATATATATATATATATATATATATATATATATATATATATATATATATATATATATATATATATATATATATATATATATATATATATATATATACTCCTCTTCTCCCAAATATATATGTACTCCGTATATATATATGGAGTACAAGAGGGTAATTTTTTTTATTTTTTTTAAATGTGTGGTGATTTTATTGATATAAGAAAAAGATATATAGTCATAAAAAAATTGTAATTTTTTTTTTTTGGATAATCAAAACATGTTATGTAAGTATATATTAAAAATTAGAAGTACATGTACTATTATTCTATTGAATGTGTGTGTTTGTGCGCGCGCGTGTGCGTCTATATGTGTGTGTGTTCATATGATAACCTATATTAACATGTAAACTTGATAATCAATTTGCGTCTTTTATTTAGATTAGTGGATAGTGCATGTCATCTATAACATAATGCACACACGTTGTACACCTCGTTCTGGGTTGACTTTTTGTGTGCACCATGTCTGGCCCATTGGATGATGCAACATCAAAGATGTGCATAAGTTCTCAAGTTCACACAATAAGGTAGGTTCTCACCTGAACATGCACACACATATATATATGACGCACCAAATGCAAACAGGTTTCTAAGTGATTAAGTGCAAATTCAAAAGTACACCAAACAAACAAAATATACAATATGTAGGTAAATGTGTAACTCAAAAACAAAAAAGTATACTTTTAGAGTTTTTGAAGTTTACTTTGCATAGCATAATGTGAACTTTTGTAGTTCACAACTGGATGCACTTTTGTAATGCACATATATGGCCAAACCACATGAAAAGATTGAATTCAACTTATTAACTAGTTTAACTTATGATCTTATAAATTTATATGCTTCTCTCTATTTTTTTAAAATTGATTCTTAACACTCCCGCTCATATAGGCAATTTGGCTATCTTGAATCTAACTGATTGACCACTTGCAATTGGATGGACCTCCCTTAAAACGGAATTATAAAGCTTTGAATCTTAACATTAATTTGATAAAAAAAAAAAAAATTGCTAGAATTTATCAACAAGTTGGAACTGAGAATATTTGAAAGGTGTTTTCGACTGTTTGTGTCTATTCCAAATTCTCATTATATTAAAAAGAAATTGTGAAAATACTTGTAGTTTGTAGTTTTCATCTCCCAAAAGGCTGAATCTGCAACGTTAAAGGACCTCCCCCTCCCCCCACCCCACTCCGCCCCGACAGAGTATTTGGGAGGATGTAAATCACCCATAATTATGCTGTGCATCCGTATGCACCATGCATGGTGCATACGGATGCAAAAACGACGTCGTTTTATTAAAAACGCGCGTCCCCCCTTAAAAAAAAAATTTAGGTTCGATTCCCAGCAACAACATATGAACTAAAATTTCAGAATTGATGAACTATAATTCCATAATTGATGAACTATAATTCCAGAATCTATGAACTAAAATTCCAGAATTTAATCTATGAACTAAAATTCCAGAATTTAATCTATGAACTAAAAATTCCAGAATGAATGAACTAAAATTCCAGAATCTATGAACTAAAATTTCAGAATCGATGAACTACAATTCCAGAATCGATGAAGTATAATTCCAGAATCAATGAACTAAAATTTCATAATCTATGAACTAAAATTCCATAATGAATGAACAACATAATGCTGTTGCTGGGAAGCGAACCTGAATTTGTTTTTAAAGGGAGACGTGCGTTTTTAATAAAACGACGTCGTTTTTGCATCCGTATGCACCATGCATGGTGCATACGGATGCACAGCATAACTACTCGTAAATCACGGTAACTCAATGAGTTCCGCGGATAGGGTCAAATGCCGGTATGCACAAGAAATCTGCCCACTTGTAGTTTGTAGTTTGTAGTTTTCTTCCACTTCCTTTTGGTGTTGTACTCAAAACAATGTAAACTCGTTTGTTTGTTTTTTTTTTTTTTTTTTGAATTTCTGAGTATAATATTGCATGCATGTGGGAGAGAATTTACATACCTATATAAATAAAAATGCCCAGCATTCCTTGCAGAGAAAAAAAAAAAAAAAAGCCCAGCATTTTGATGAATATAATTTTGGCGACTTCTTACCAGATTAGTGGTCAGAGGGACCAATAGAGACAAAATAATAAATAAATAAATAAATAAATAAATAAATAATGACAATAATTACGTATCAAGGTGGAATTTTGATGGTAGAAATATTGAATCTTTAGACTAAAAATAATTGAGAAAGTACGTATAAAACAAAATCTACTTTGTAAAGAATTATGAGTTTTCTTTTTTAAATGATAAAAATAAAACTTGAAGGAAAAAAATTATGAGTACAAATATTTTGAGATTAAAAGTAAGAAAAAAAATAGTTAATTCAATAATTTTTTGTTATAGATTTATAGGTGACATTTCACATTTAATCCCTTATTTTCAGGACATCTCTGATTGGTCCTAAGATTATCGTGGCATGACCATTTTTATCATCCATCAACAAACATATTTAAATGACGTTAAATATGAGGGCATTTTAGTCTATTAAATTATACGTGTTAAATTTTTTTTTGGTCATAAATTTATGTGTCATTCCACTGCTACGGAGCCTCAGGTTGTGAATGGTTTACTGCATAGGCGCGAATTGCAATTGAAGAAAACATGCAACTTAGTCGTTAATTAGATATATATATATATAGTGGGTCAACCCAGTTTGTAAAAAAAAAAAAAAAAAAAAAAAAAAAAAAAAACTTAAATGCTCTCGTATTTAACATCATTTAAATATGTTTGTTGAATGAGGACCAAAATGGTCATGTCACAATAATATTGGGACCAATAAGGATGCTTTGATTAAAAAAAAAAAATACTAAAAGTAGAATGTCACCTATAAATCTATGACAACAAATGGAATTAACTAAAAAAAAAAAAAAAGGAAGGAAGGAATAAGGGCAAAATAAGTCATCAAATTACACACGAAACTACACTCATCAAACTATTAAAAAAAATTGTAATTGGATCATTGAACAACACAAATTCACACAATTAAACCTAAAATCAGTAATAGGGTTACGTGATGGTTACCGAATTTAAAAACATTTTATAAATATTATTGTAATAATTTTAAATTAAATAATTATTATAAAAAAAAAACCCAACCCTACCTTGCCTTCGTCTCTGCCGAAGACAAAGAACCAACCTTCATCTCCATGGCTAGAGACGAAGATACCTTCATCTCTATGGCCGGAGACGAAGATACCTTCTTCGTCTCTGGCTGTGAGACGAAGATCGAAGGCATATGAGGGGGTGGGATTTATTTATTTATTTATTTAAATTTAGTAAAATATTATTTTTTAAAAAATGTTTTTAAATTTGGTAACGGCCAAGTCAACCTATTACCAAGTAAATATCATGTCATTTAATTTTATGTTCAATTGCATGAATTAGCTCTCTTTTTTTTTTTTTTTAGGAATCTAATTGTAATTTTTGTGAGTTTGATGACTTAATTACATTTTTGTGTGTTTGATGACCCAATTATATTAAAAATAAAAATAAAAAACCACCGCTACATCGCCTTCATCTCCGTCGGAGACGAAGGCATATGAGAGGGGTGGGATGTTTTTTTATTTTAAATAATTATTTTATTTAAAATTATTAAAATACTATTTTAAAAAATATGTTTAAATCCGATAATCGCCAAATAAACCTATTACTAAGTAAATAGGTCATTTTAGGTTGAATTGCATGAATTTGCGTTGTTTATGGATTTAATTGTAATTTTTGTGAGTTTGATGACCCAATTACAGTTTGATGTGTAATCGAATGACCTATTTAACCCTTATCCCAAAAAAATGATATGGTGCATTAAAAACACAGTGCAACTAATAAAAAACAAGTTGGAGGTAAAAATGAGTATTGTGTTGTGCTAATGAATAAAGATTTTCCCTGAGAATTTTCTTTATATATATGATCAAGTGGAAGTGTGGAACAAGTCTTACTGTAAAATTCATGGATTAATGTTACACAGTCATCGATATGGGATGATCAACGACTCTTAAGTAAAAAAAAAATGATAAAAATACAACGACATTTTAGTACATATTTTAAACTTGTTATCATTAAAAAAGTGGAATGAACAAAAGTACAAAACACAATGCATCCCATTATATATAGATGTACACTTAGCATATGTGACTCTTAGCATAAAATGAACTCAAAACGATTACATTTTTACATATCATTATTATATGCACTTTGTAGTATTGCTGGGTACACTTTCTGCATTTTATTAGTCATACTACTTTATTGTATTACTCGGTGCACATTATATATCATTAAATGCATTTCGTAGTTTATAATTTTACCAAAATGTCAAAATGATTTTTCCATTACTCTTGAGTTGTAGATTATCTCAAGAAGAAAAGTTGCGAGTTAATATCTAAGTTAGTCAACTATAATGATTTTTCTCGATTTAGTTTTAAATATATATATTTTTTGGGTGCTTAATTGGATCCTTGACTTTGATGATTTTATCTAATTGAGTCATCAACTGTTAGAATCAATAACTAAATTGAAAAAAATAACCATAGTCAAATACTAAATTGGGTATTAACCACTATAGTCGATGATTAATTTAGATAAAACTACTATAGTAAAAACCAAATTGTGTATTAATAGAGGAGAAATTACCATGCTACAATTCCAGATGAGTGAGATGACTCAAATAGTTAAAACTTTCAAAGTAGGGGACCCAATTAAATACCTTTAGGACTAAATAGAAAAGATAATCACTATAATTGAAAACTAAATTGGGCATTAACTTCTTAATAATCTAAATTTGACTTTCATCATCATTTCTATTTAAATGTTCTAAAAATATATCAAAATATTTTGTAAGCATTTATACTCTAATTATAACTAAGAACCAGTCTCAGTTCATTATTGCGTTGTAAATAGCTTTAAAAGGTAAACACAGAGAGGTAAACAATACTAGAAAGATTATGTGCAATGAGCTTGATCAAAAAATTAAAGTTTTGACAAGAATAAAACTCATGACTTTTAGGTACGAGTTGACAATCATGTTTTACAAGTGAAAATATATTATTTTGACAGTATAAGTATCACTTTTTATATGGCAAAAAGAATGAATGGTTGAGGTATAATTGTATAAACCATGCATCAAAAAAGAAAATGCTAACAAATGGATTACATTCGAATTCCAACTTCTGAGTTCTGACTTTGTACATCATAGTCTTACCCGAATTGTTGAATTAATAAATTAAAATGTTTTTAAGATAAAAATTGTCTTTATTAAATATTTAATTAATAATGTGACATGTTCCCTTCAAAACAACAACAATTATACTAATGATGTGATTCATTAACTGCTTGTAAATTTATCCAATTAATCACAAATTGGTCAAACTGTTAACTTCATAGTCACTCAGTCTTCATTATTGATCGTTCTTCACATTTGTCATCAAGATGGCATCATTTCAGTGTCCATAGCTATATGCTTGGAGATTTTACAAAAAACCTTTAACACAAGAATGATGATTAATCTTGTATGCTCCTCATAGGAAAAAGATCTTTGCATTTTTCTAATTCTCATCAGGAAAATGAATGTTTTAGCAGCCATGGGCTCTTATACATACAGTGCCCCTCTCTTACACTTCCAATAGAGAGAAAATTCTTATAATGCACTATATATGTGAAGTAATCACGTACACATTCTAATTTAGGCTTCCAACAAATTATAAGCTTGAAGTGGATGGGGACCATGAAATCATCTCTCCTAGACCTATAGGCTATCATGTGCATGAATCACTTAACAAAATACATTATCATGTACATAGGAAACACAAAAAGTATCCCTCCTTATCCATGTTACTTCAATTATATTGTAAATACACCACATCCACTTTGACCCTTTCATGTTTTTGTTTTTGTTTTTTTTTTAATATTTATTAATATATTATGTTTCTCAACACTAATCCTAAACTTCCATAACTCCACCCTAAAAGTAAATCATGAGTCATTCCGTCAATTTTAATATTTTCACCCTTGCTAGTATATCAGTCAAGGTCTTTCAATGACACCAGGTTCCTAGTTAGATTCCAACCCCTACCATTTTATGCTTTTGACTTATTATAGATCTACCATCCTAACACATAAAACATTAAAGGAAACACTGAACTTTTCATCCCTAAATTATAAAAATTATTGTAAAATTTGTCCTTAATGGTCGTACTCACTTCTTGTTCCTAAAGTATAAATTATATTACAACATAAAAAAATTTTCCATTTTTCGAAAAAGATAAAAATAATCTCAACGCATACGGATAAAATGATAGAGTTAATTCCAGCAATGGTCCTTCGACTATGTTGATTTTTCAAAATTAGTCATCGACTTTTAATTTGGACATTTTACGTCCCTTGACTTTCAATTTCTTTCCAATTGAGGTCCTTTCGTCAGATTACTGCAAATTGGACTTTAAATGAAAGGGTAAAGTAGTTATTTCATCGGCCTAATGTATAATTCTTCATATTTCTTCCATTTATACGTGACTTCGGACATCAAATTCACTTAATTACTTAATCCCTAATGGAATTTTGTTCTTCGAGTGGATTTAGGAATTAAGCAATTAAGTGAATCTGATGTCTGAAGTCGCGTATACAATGAAGAAATACGAAGAATTATATATTAGACAACTGAAATGACTAATTTACCCTTTCATTTAAAGTCCAATTTTCCGCAATCTCACAAAAGGATCTCAATTGAAAAAAAATTGAAAGTCAAGGGACATAAAATGTTCAAATTAAAAGTCGAGAACTAATTTTGAAAAATCAATATAGTCGGAGGACCATTGCTGGAATTAACTCTAAAATGATACTACTGATCATTTTAGGCATCGCATCAACATAAAGAACCTAGCTTAACTAATTTTGAAAAATTAACATAGTCGGAAGACCATTGTTGGAATTAACTCTAAAATGATACTACTGATCATTTTAGGCATCGCATCAACATAAAGAACCTAGCTTTGAAGCTCGAGAGCAAAGCCATTGACAAAGAAACTGAGAAATTAAAACTTATATTCACCATTTATTATTACTAAAAATACTATTTTTATACACGAACATGATAATCCATACAAAAACCCTCCCATATATGTTCCCAATACACCGAATTTATACCCTTTCGAAAATTCGGTCCTAATTTGATTAGAAAACTAGAAGCAGCTCGCATATGCTAGGGAAGATTCAATTCAAGAAATGTGGGGGCAATTTCTAAAATGCATACGTGGGAGATGTGCAAAGAATTACTATTGCTTTCGCTTTTTGATTCAGGTTGAAACGCCTTCAGTTGCTACGCAGAATCCGAGCCGAACCCAGAGCTTGGAGCGAGGGGTTTTTGCCTGGCAAGAAAAGAGAAGAGGGGGTGAGTGCAAATCACCGCCGTGGTGAGCCTCTAAAATCACCACAGGGTTAAAGATTTCAGCCTCGGACCGTACACGTGCGACTCAAGTGCCGCTATATAGGAGAGACGTGTCTCGCGCTTTTTCTCATATTTTTGTGTGTTGAGAATTGCCCAATTGCCGGGGCTTGGGTCCAAAGAAGAGTTGTTAATGAGAAACTGGGCGAGTTGAAAGACTCAATCTTGACACTGAGTCGCCATGAAAATGGTGCTTAAGCCGATTGTTACAAGTTCTACAAATGGAGTCTTCCAATTCCCTTTTCATTCAACTCCATCACCACATGTCAGAAAAAGGAGCAATTCTATCATAGCACAGGCCACTCCTTCCAGAACCGAGGCATGTTTTTGATTTTCTTTCTTTCTTTCTTTTTTACCACTGGAAAATCGCCTACTTTCTATCACTGTAATGTACGGAGTACTTTGCACTCTGCTTTCTTCCGGGCACTACGGATGATGATAAAGCTTCTGTCTTGGTTTGTAGAGGATAATGAAAAGCATAGCTGTAAGTGGAGAGGTGGGCGGAGCTGGTGGCGCATACTCTTATAATGCTTTGAAAAGATTGGACCAGCTTTGGTCTGACATTTGCTCTGCTTCACAAGGTTTAGAGCTGTGACTGTATAATTGTTCACTTGGGTTTTCTTTTTAATGTTTTATGTGTAATGTGGCAATTTGCTAGACTGCTATCTGTCAATCTGTGAATTTCTTTTTTCTTTGGGTGATGAGTGAAACCCGCACCCACTACCAAGGGTGTGCACGAAACCCGGGTTGAGGTTGCCTATAACTCACTGACTCAAACTAAAAAGGCTAATAGGTCTGTTTGCTCCCGATGAAACTTGTAATTTTGTGGTTACTGAGTCTGACCAACTTGACTGGGATTACCCTTCAAGGTGTGATTTTTATATGAAATGAAATTGCATATGTGCAGTAGTCACACAGGTACCAAGGCAAGTAGTTTCAACAGTGTCTGGGTCCTATAAGGATTCTGAACTTGGTGGAAAATCTCTGGAGATGTTTGATGTGGTGGTTTGTGGAGGTACTTTGGGGATCTTTATTGCCACTGCATTGAGTTCCAAAGGTCTTCGGGTCGGAATTGTAGAAAGGAATGTTTTGAAGGGGGTATGCTATTCTTCTACTGATCATTTTGTGGGATTTGATATCTAAATGTTTAGTGAAGAACTAACCATCTGATTTAATATTAGATGATAAGTATTTGATTTTTGGGTAATTGATGAACAGAGAGAACAGGAATGGAATATATCAAGGAAAGAGCTACTGGAACTGGTAGAAGCCGGTATCTTAACAGAAGACGACATAGAAAGGGCTGTCGCTGCCAGTTACAATCCTGTACGTTTATTCCTTTAGATGCCAGTTTAAGTGATATCAAAGTATCTAGGTTTGAAGCAGAACTTTCATAGTATTTGTCTATTTGGTAGGTTGTTACATATGTTTTCTTCTACATTTGATTTTGTTTACTTTGCAGAACAGATGTGGTTTTGAAGGAAGGGGTGACATTTGGGTCAATGACATTCTCAACCTCGGTATTTCGTAAGTCAAGTACCCTGTTGTTATTCCACAAAGACACTATCACATCGTATTATTTTATACCACTGAACTGTGAGGTTATCAGCAATTTTATTTTTCATCTATAAGATAATTGAAATTTTATTTATTGCACCTCTGTAATTGTAGGCCCTCAAGGCTCATACAGATTGTGAAAGAGCGCTTTGATTCCCTTGGAGGTGTCACTTTTGAGGGTTACAATGTGTCTACAATAAATGTTTACGAGGATGGAGTGGTAAGATTACTAACTCAGATATGAATAAGGACCGTTTTAACTCACAGTGTAGCCTCAATTATTTAGTGTTCAAATGATATATATTGTCTGTCTTTTCTCTCTCTTCACCCCTAATGTTTTTTGTTTTTTGTATTCAACCAATGACCAGGAAATGGATGTTGAGTTCAAAGGATACAAAACTAGGAATAATAGATCGCAAATTACTATATAAAAAACTTATAATTTTTATATTCTAAATGGACAAAAATTTGTGAAAATCTGGATTTAGTATAAAAAAAAAAGTGACTTACATTATCATTTAAAACATTTTTGGCTTAATTCCTCATACAACTGTATTTATCTTTTATATCATAGGTTTTGCATTTAGATGAGGGGAAGGTTTTGTCATCACGGCTCATTATTGATGCAATGGGGAACTTTTCTCCGATTGTAAAACAGGTGAAAATTTTTGCTTGAGATTTTTCATCTGTGAATTATGTGCAATGTCTATGTTAAACCTCCGACTCTCCAAGTTTTGGCGTTTCTCCTTCCATCAACCACGAACAATACATGGAATAGATCATCATTATCTATTATGAATTGCAGGCTTGGGAATATGCAATATAGCGAGGGAATACGTAACTCATAAAAACATTAGCGATTGTCCTTTCTTATGGAAACATTTTTCAATCACTTTACTGTTTTTGTGTGGTTTGAGCCTTGTGGGTTTAAATGGCTTTTGATGTTTAAGTATTATGTTAGATTAGACGTGGAAGGAGACCAGACGGTGTTTGCCTGGTGGTTGGTACGTGCTGTCGTGGATTCAAAGATAACTCTACAAGTGATGTTATATTCAGCAGTGCTTCCGTCAAGGAAGCTGGAGAATCAAAAGTGCATTACTTTTGGGAGGTCGGAGAAATTTTCAGGCTTCTCAGTGCTTAGTTCCAGATAACTTGGGCACTAAAAATTTGTTTAATGATCTTTTTTCATCAGTCTTGTTCACTCTGACAATTTGCAGGCGTTTCCTGCTGGATCAGGCTCCATGGACCGAACTACTTACATGTTCACTTATGTTGACCCTCAACCTGGATGTCCGAAACTGGAAGACTTACTTGAGGACTACTGGGACTTGATGCCGAGCTATCAGGTGAAGTAATCATCATTATAAATTAAGTAGAGTCGACTTCTTTCCTATCCTCCAAGATCCATTAAGTTCCTGGAATATGTGATTTGTTTTCAAACTTTATAGGGGGTGTCTCTTGACAATCTGGAGATCTTAAGAGTTATATTTGGTATATTCCCAACATATCGTGATAGGTAAATACTTGAGTTTCAGGTTCATTTTGTCGGTTTCTTATGCAAAGTATTTTTTTAAAAGATAATTTCTATGCTGTGACATTTGTTACTAGTTACCGTTATTTGCTGACACTTTGCGTTCTCACTTTTTTTTGTTGGTGGACTTGGCAGCCCGCTGCAAGCAGCGTTTGATCGTGTTCTACAGGTATTTTTACCTTACACTGTTCGAGTCTTTTGAACCCCCAAAATTCAATATGCTCACGTATCAAATGGATTGCAGTTTGGAGATGCGAGTGGCATACAGTCACCTGTTTCTTTTGGTGGTTTTGGGAGTTTGACTCGACACCTTGGTAGATTAACTAACGGTACAAGGTCTCTTAGGCTAACTGCAGATCTGTCTTATCAGTTTAAGCAAACAAAACATTAATGACAAAATAAAATTATGGATGTCTGGAAGGATTATCAGATTAGGCTTCTAACTTGATTATTTTTCAATTGTTTTGAGGAACAAGGCATAATTGAAGCAGTTGATGAAGATTTTCTGGATTCTCAGAGCTTGTCACTGTTGAATCCTTACATGGTCAGTTTTTGTAGTGCATAAACAATTATGTGTGTTCTAGTGCCATCATCGTAATGCAGTTATTGTTTTACAGCCCAACTTAAGTGCATCTTGGCTATTTCAAAGGGCAATGTCCGCAAAGAAGCACTCTGATGTCCCACCGGATTTCATTAATGATCTCCTGTTTTCCAATTTCCGAAGCATGCAGGTAGGTCTCAAATTCTCAATTATGTTTTCTTGGGACATGTTTTTGCTCGTCCTTTTACCGAACTTTATTTGTCATATGATGAATTGCCAGCGACTTGGGGATCCTGTGTTGAGACCGTTCCTTCAGGTGACTCACCCTTTCTCTTGATCTTAGAATTCCGTTTCTACAAGGATTAGAGAACTAATTTTGGTTTCTGTTAATCTGAACCGATACAGGATGTTATACAATTCGGGCCACTAGTCAAGACACTAGGCCTAGTAATGTTAACTAAACCTCAAATTCTTCCATCGATATTCAAGCAGGTATTTTACATTGCTTCTTTTATAACGTTCAAGAAAACACAATAGATTTCTGAACTGGGAACACTGCAAAATGGCATCTTTCTGGTATTGAATACTCGTACGTTGTGCATGTCTGATTTCCAGGTTGGAATTCCAGTGCTTCTCGACTGGTCTGGGCATTTTTTCATGCTGGGATATTACACGTTTCTGTCTACTTACCTCGACCCTGCAATTAGGTAACACGCAATTATGTTTCCTTAATATCTGGTTTTTGACATCGACCTCTTCTGCTTTAGTTCGTTATGTTTATCCTTAGTGTCACGAAATTGTGGTTATCCTGTCAGGCCATTGATAGACACCTTCCCGGCCAAGATGAGATATGAGTGGAAGCGGAGGCTTGAGGCCTGGAAATATGGAGCTGGTTTAGATTACGAACTGGAGTGTTCAACAACACAGGAGCAAACGGGTACGAGGAAAGATTCATCTGACGACACTTGGAGTTCAAATACTGTTTGATGAGTATATATTTTCGGTTCTATTTTACGTTCACAATGTATCAAGTATACATATAAATTGAATATTCTTGTAACTAACATTCAATATAATATACAAAAAGTTATGAACAGTCGCTTTTATGGAGTAGTTGTAACTATGTTCAGTTGTTCACGATATAAATACAGATTATGGTGACGTCACACTGACGATGTCAGCTACAAGCATTTTATTTACTTTTTAGTTCAGATATAGACTATTGGTCATTTGGTCATTTTCCATTCCCAGAAACATACAAAGAAGATAAAGCTAAAAAACAAATGATTAAGCATTTGTCTGTGAGTTCTTAACCTAGTATGACAAAGAGGGATTAGGTTCTCAAAATTCGAGTTTAAGCCTTACTAAAAAGTGATTTTATAACATGGGGATATGGTTGAGTGGAAGAGATTCATCCATCCTTAATCAAAGGTCAGGGTTCGATTCTTAACTTGGGTATAGAGTACCCAATCTCTCCTCTCACCTAAAAGAGGTGCCTACAATTCTGCGAGGGAATTTGTCAGGCATAGCCAACAAATTAAAAGAAGCAATACCTGAAGAACATGGTGTGTTGGTTTTAAGAAGTGATGGGAGTGAGGTAGCCTCAAGTGTGCATGCTCTCTGAGGTTCAATCACCATGAAAGCTAAGGGCAGTCCTCTTAAGTGCAAGGTGGTTGCATGAAGTAATTTTTTCAGCAAATTAAATTGAATGGTTCAACTTCATATTTGATAAATGAAAATGAAAAAGTTCATATAAAGATTTGAAAATTTTAAAAATTACTCCACATTATATGTTTTCTGAATAACAAAGTTTGAAATAATGAAAATTTTCATAATGTCGTGGCTGTATTCTGAACTTTATGAAGTGTACTGTAAAATTATACCTCTCTAATGTACCTCTGCTAAATAAAGCCTACGTGCAGTGATATATATATATATATATCACTTTGTAAAGTACACAGTAGTGTTAAATTTGTATTAAATTCAGATAAAAATGACATCAACTAAACTTATAAACACAAGACATGATCGGTAGGGATGTAAACATTGCATAATTGATCTTTCATACTTCTAGATAAGAATATACTACAATCAGCTTCATAATTGATCAATATTAATACTTTTAACGAGAACTTATAAAAACTATAAAAAGAAAAAGAAAAATACAATTCTTATAGTGTCTCGAAACTAAGTAAACTTATAATCTCTGCAATCAAAGTTTACCTCATTCCAAGCTAGCTTGTAGAGAAGTATGTATAAGCTTACTGTATAACACCTCTATTATTCTATCTCTAAGCTTGCTTACTACCTAACATGCAAGAAAATTTATACTTAAATTAACTCCAAATGAACCATAAACGGCGGCCATGTACAGCTCCAAGTCTATCTACCTCTTGTTGTGGAGTGGATTTGATCCGGTGGGGATTCTTCTCTTCTCCGGCTCGAGATCTCTAGACGCTGCCGGAGCACCGGCCGGCAAAGGTTGAAACGCTTGCTCGCTGCTTCGCTCCGACGGGGCGGGAGAATCAACCGGCGGCAGAACGGCTTGAATTATGATCGACGGGGAGCTAAATAGGAGGAGAGCAATGAGAAAGGAGGTGCAGAAGTGAAAGTGGTGGTGATGATACATGGTTGTGTTGGGGAATATTATTATTGTGTTTTGAGAAATATGTAAAATATATGGAATAGGTTTGTTTAAAGCTAAGGCAAAGGTGGTACAACAACTTTGATTATATGTACATATGTACATGGATGTGGTTGGTCCATGTCATACATATGTTGGAAAATGGAGACAAATAGTTTGATACACTTAAAAGTATTGTTGGTCTTTGTTTTAATGAGTACTTTTGTGCATGCCCATTATACTAAAAATATACTCTCAGTGTAAACAAATTAAATATTTTTATTCCATCCGTGGTTCGAATTTAAATATTTGAATTTAAATATTGCAGATACATATTTCGATTCGAATTTAAATACAAAGCATAATATATTTGATTCGAATAATATTCAAATATATTTAAATATATATATAAGCTAAAGATCTAATCAATTATCACCTAAGCCCAGAAGGTCGGAACTCTAAACGCCTCATTGCCTCAGTGACTCTGTCCTCGTTAGTTTATAAACTCTAAAGCCATAGCTAAAGTTTCTTCTTCCCCTCACGTAGTCGCTACTCGCCACTACATAGCTAAAGATTCTTCTTACCACTCCACTCCAGATCTGCGACGACGACAGTCACGGTGGACTTCACATATGTACATCAGCAGCAACAGCATGACGAGTCGACGATGGTGACGACTTTTTCTAGCTAGCAGCACGACGATGGTGACGGCTTCTTCGATCTGTTTTCTTTCTAAGCTTTCGGCGGAGGATGACGGCAAAGTAGCACTCAACAACTCCGACAGCAACATGGCGCGACTCCGGTGAAGAAAATTAGTAAATTAATACAATATTAGTATAATAGTATTTAATAGAAATTAAAATTTTATGCTATTTAAATTTAAATTTTTATTATATTTTGTCTTAATTTATTGGAGAACTTGAAAAAAATAAGTTAGGCATTTCGAATTCGAATATTCGAGTCGAATCGAATATATTCGAATAATGCATCCGAATCAAATACGAATAAAATTTTAGATTCTAATACGATTACGAATAGTTATCAAAATAGTCGAATTTGAATCGAATAGTAAGATATTTGACTCGATTCGATTCGTTTACACCCCTACTCTCAGGTGGAAAAAAAAAATTGATGACTGATTTGATCCATCCATTTGTGTAGATTAGCGGTTAAAGGTTGCTGAAAAAAAAAAAAAAGAAACACTTTTAATTTTATAAATATTATTACAAACTTGAAAGTTTGTAATAATTATAAAATCAAACTTGTGTATATATGTTTTTTATTTTGTTTTTGTTTTTACTAGAACTCCAACTATTGATGAACATGTGTAGTTGAGATCAATAATAGTCAAATAGTGTAATTTAGTATTTGGCATTTAGAAAGTAAAATAAAATTACTTTAATACATGTATGCACATTGTTGAGGGACGGTTGTTTTATGATTATTTACAATAAACAACCCAAGGCCATTTTATTTATTTATTTGGTGCAAAATATTTTTTTTTGTGTAAATAATTAAAATGAATTCAGGTTTACTTAAAAGTGATAAATCACGGCTGGAAATCTTTGATTTTCTGACCACTTTTTCGATCACCAAAAAAATAATCGAAAAGTGACATTTTTCTGATTTTTTGTCGAAAAATTATGGTGGGGAAATAGGTTAGAATTTTCAACTTCGTTAACACATATAGGAGGCTCATGCAAACAAGCAAGTGAAGATCAGCCAGTTAGCTCATTAGCAGTTAGTTAGGCTTGTTATGAAGCAGTTAGTTAGTTTTTCATCTTTAACTGTTTTTCCCTCCTATCTCTCTGTACTAGCTATATAGAACTCAACCTGCACTGTGTATAGGTTAATCATTCAGTTTCAATATACTGTGTTCTTCTTTCCTCTCCTTCATATTACTCAATAACTTCCGACCACAAAGTAAAGGTGATCGGAAAAAAAAATATGCAGTTTAAATTTTTTAAATCGATTTTTCCGACCAGTTTACATCATTGGATGCTATTTCCGACCACCTTGTCTTGTGGTCGGAAATAGGGACAAAGGTTTTTCTGAATACCAAAAATGGTCGGAACAAAGGCTTTCGACTTTATTGAAGATACTTTCAGATGGTCAGAAATTTCTTAATTTCCAACCATGAACAGATATTTTGTTTATGAATTTTATCTCAATTAGATTGAAAATTTTTAGATATTGAATCAATGATTTGTTTGGAGCACGCAACTTAATAAAATGAGATAAAGAAAATTAAATATTTGTAAATTAAATCTATAATATACATACGTACGCGGTACACATACGTATTTTATAATTTTATAATTAGAAGTTATGTCTAGAATTTAATTAATGACGTGCTAGTATTAATTAGATCTTAATTTAAATTTCATACTCATCAAAATATACTTTATTAACCATATGTTTATTTCCGATCATGAAAAGAACTTGAACTACAAGTAAAGAATGTTTTGAAATATACATAAAAAGTATTGTATAATATATAATATAATATTTTGTTTGTTTATAAAGGTGTCATATCATTCGATCTTCAACAGCACAGTTTGAGATCAGATGAACAATTAATTTAAGGTGGCTCTGGTGGTGGGCTTGACAATGATAATCAATGGGGATGGTGGCGGTTGATAATATAATGGCAGAAGCTACCAAGTGAAGGGTTTTCAAATGCCCCGAAAAGGTTAAGTATGTGAAATATGATTTTCGTAACATAATGTTATAAATATAATTGTTATGATACTTTTTTCAGTCGAATTTGTAATATAAACACATTATTTGGATACATAAAAACAATATGGAGTAGTACGTAATGACTTTAATATATCTATAGACTTATTATAAAAAATCATCTCAATTTAAAAAATTTAATGCTATACAAAATTTATAGAGAAAAATATGAATGGCTTAAGTGTGCGTAACGCATTCACTCGATATAATTATTGGATATATGCGGGGGGAGAATAATGATTAGATAGTTGGGTAGTCCTTTCAAAAAAAAAAAAAAGTTAAATAGTTAGTGGTTCAGGTTTGTTTTGAATTTTTATAAAAGAAAGTTGAGTTGGGAAAATTTTAGATTCATAACTTTTTAGTTTCATATCAATTTATGATAAATTCAATTTAGTTGAATTATTGTGACCATCTCTAGTTGAAGGACATTATCCAAGAATAGTGTAGGTCAAACTAACATATATGGGTAGGGCGCATTATAAGCTAAGAGTGCGCAGCCTAGCTTTTTGTAGTTCATCATCACATTCATTCTTCCAAAAGATTGAATCTCAACCTTAAGGACCCTCCACATCCTGACCCGATAGAGCATTTAGAAAAATGTAAATCATGATAACTCAACTGAAAGTTCATCATCACATTCATATTGATATTGAACGCATGCATATACTATACATCTCTGCTTCTTATCGGCATGACCATTACACCATTACTCTTTGCTCCCCAACAATATAATGTATGGAGAACTGAAGGGCGACACCTTGGCTGTAATCTTTTTCTTTTAAGTAAAATGAAATTATTCAAACTCATGATTTTATATGTATAAAGTTGATTTTCATATTAAATTAATGTTGCGTTTCATTTCAATCATGTAACCTTTCTTGAAAGAAAGTCAAGAAGTGTCAACTAAGTACGAGGTGATTGTCATATTTTAAGTTTCATTATTTAAACTTCAATAAAATCCATGTATGTGTGGTATTTTTAAAAGAAACATTTTCTTTAATTTTTCACAGAAAAAAAAATCAAGTATGTCAGACAATTATTTTAGTAATAACAATGTTTTAAATTTAACTTTATCTATTAGTTCTTGATTTGAGTCAGTCAGCTATAAATAAATTAGAATGATTTAATTTTTTGTAGTTCTTTGTTAGTTACGGACACAAAAGAGAGTTAATCTAGAGGCAGATGGAATCTCTTTCGTATAGAGAAAATTATGTAGTGGACTAGTGGGGCATTTAGGTTATCTAAGTTATGACTTTTGGAGGGAAAAATAAAAACGAGATATTAATATAAACATTTTTTATCATTAAAAATACGCCGTAAAAAAGAAGGATATGTGCGTAGTCAACATTTTTGTAGCCGTATAAATTTGATTTTCCCGTCTCGTTAATTAATTTCAACCAAACCATTCATACCTTCTTAAGAAATTATTTTATTTAAAAAAAAATGCGGAATCTTTCAAACAAACACAATTATTACCATATTTGAACAATAAATAATTGTCCTTTGCTTGATTACGATTTACGACATAAGGACAAACCAAGCATCCTCAACTTTGCCTTAAAAATTAGGAAAATGTTTATGGTGTTGTATGTTAATGTAGTCATATTAATATATTATGTTCTATAGATATAAAAATAGTAATAATTCTTTTATATAAGTTTGAACTCTAAACTTAAGGGTTCCTCACTGCTTTAGAGATGGATAGAGATTTTAAATAATGTAGATGATGTGTCTCAACTGACTTATCGGTCCTCAAATATTTATACACTAGTGTCTAGCCAAATTCATATTATCTCTTTTTGGATCATTGGTATAATTTGAACTCTACAAGCACGAAACTAGTCATTAAACTCTTGTAAACATTAATTTTAGAAAAAAAATCAATTTTGATCCATAGTTATATAAAGCATTCTTATAATTAGTCATTTATTTTAAAATTGTCTTAAGCGTAATTTGTCCACTTTTATTACAATACTAATTTTGGTCCTTTTATTAGTTTTTATGAGGTTAAAGTCTATTAACTAACTGAAGAACATTTTTACAAACTTATTATTTAGGGAAAATGATCAAATAGGCCCTCAATCTTTAGTTGAAAAGTCAATTAACCTCTTAAACTTTTTAAAGTTGCAACTGAACGCATCAACAATTTATTTTGATGTAATGAAGTCCAAAAACCAATTAATGACCTGCTATCACAGGTTATTAAGGTTCCGACAACTCTCTGGCGAAATTTCAAGCAACAAAGTGACCGACAACCAGCGAACGGTTGCCGTCCACGGAGAAGGCGACCAAATATTGATCGCTTTATTCAGTTGAAGGCGACCAAATATTGGTCGCTTTATTCGGTTGAAGGTGACCAAATATTGGTCGCTTTATTCGTTTGAAGGTGACCAAATGGTCGCTTTTTGCCCGAGAATGTGACCAAATATTGGTTGCCTTATCTGGCTGAAGGCGACCATTTCTGCCTCCTATTGAGAAAATGACTAGTAAACGCGTCGGTCGCGATGTTTGTCTCAAAATCTTACAAGAATTGGTCGGAAGGTTGCCGAAGTTAGTTGTAAGGTTGCCGGAGTTAGTCAGAAGGTGGCTGGAACCTTAGTGATTTGCTATATTGGATTTTGGACTTCAATGCACCAAAATAACATGTTTACGAGTTTAATTGCAACTTTTAAAGAATTAGGGGCATAATTAACTTTTTGAATAAAATTTTGGAGTTTATTTGACCATTTTCCCCAAATTTTATATGTGAAACATTTCACCGTTCTAACTATTGTAACTGGAATGACTATGATGGTTTAATTGTTGAAATAGATGCCCAACAGGTTATTACAAATATGCAGAATACAAATTTGGCTCCGTATAGTTTACTTGTTCGTGATATTACTAGTTTCTTATCTATGTTTTCAAATGTTTCTCTTCGTTTTGTAAAGCATTCTGCTAATATTGTGGTTCACTTATTAGCTAGAGATGCTACTTTAGTTGTTCGTAGCTGGTTTTGGTTTGATACCGTACCGTCTTTTATTTTTCAAGCTTTGTGTAATGACTTGATAGTTAATGAAGTGTTTTCTGTGTTTGGTTTTCAAAAAAAAAAAAAAAAAAAAAAACTATTGTAACTAGAATTCATCAAAATAATTTTTTGAAAATCCACTTCGTCATCTTAAATACACTTTAAGACCAATCACAATAATGATTTTTGGACTAGTTTTTGGCAGAGTAGAAACCATAGCAAGGTTTTTGGACTAATGGAAAAGCAGGTTTTTATGAATTTTTTTTCTTTTTATTTTAATGCTATTCAAAGTCTTTTGTAGGCTATAGGAAAAATAAATTTGACGCTCACTGTGTGCATTTCGTGCCTGGCAGGGCACGTAAATGGCTTTTTTTTTTTTTTTTTTTTTTTTTACTATTTTTTATCTTTTGTAGTTGGTCTGCAAAAAACTACAAAAAAATCACTACAATTGACTGAATGAGATTGCTCTAAGATATCAAAATAATAGCCTATGTTAAACTCTAGAAAGTACGAGTAGAAAATTTCTATTTTCTAGTGGAGATAGAGCTAGGGACATAAATAGGGAAGGAAACAAATGTGCGGACAAGCTGGCTAATATGGGACAGGTGATGGATTGGGGAACGATCATTCTTGAAAATGCTCCGATCGAACTTACGGATCTTATTTATGCAGACACTTATAACACCCCTTATTTAAAGGCTAGATAGTGCTCTCTCTTGAGGGCTCCAAATTCACCCAAAAAAATGTGGTCAACATTGTTAATCTTGCTCAATCCTATCGAGATATTTTTTTTTTGAATGCTACTGGCCCTATTACATTGTAGTATCTGTTCATATACTTTCTCAACCTACTGAAACACAAAGAGCCAATAACGCCTCCACTGAGGCTCGAACTCACAACCTTCCAAATGGAAGTCCAACCCGGATACCATTAGACCACATAGTCCTGGTCCTATCGAGATGTTTAATTTATCAATTTCGTATTAATCGGATTGATTTTCTTAAATTCACTAATTTTTCAATTTCATTGTATTAATTTGTCAATTTTGAGTTATGAATAGCATCTCTAGATGGAGCTTAGGCCCATAAATAGGCCCAAATTGGAAGCAAATGGCAAATTATACTATGGTCCACAATGCATTATGGTCCAAACATCAAAACGGTGTCATTTCTTTTAATGAAAAGAAACAGTACCTGTTCTGCGCCGTCCACAAAAAAAGTAACTTTAATTGTATAACATATTCAATTTTATTTTGTATACACTGTAGTTTCATTTCAATACAACTACAGTTTCATTTCGATATAACAACAATTTCATTTGATATTATATACTCAAATATGTGAAATTGTTATTCAGTTTCATTTTATACACACTATAGTTTCATTACAACACAACTACATTATCATTTCGATATAACTACAGTTTCAGCGCACAATGTACACTCAGATACGTGAAATGTTATTCAATTCCATTTTATATACACACAGTTTCATTTCAACACAACTGCAGTATTATTTTGATATAACTACAGTTTCACTCGACAATATACACTCAAATATATGAAATTGTTATTCAGTTTCATTTTATATACACTGCAGTTTCATTTAAACACAATTATACTTTTATTTGGTTATATAAAAATAATATGTGAGACAGTATTAAGACAGGAAACAGATGATGATCGCGCGTACAAACCAAACAAAACGTGACGAACAACCTTGGAAAGTAAAACCAATCCCGCCGCCGAGGAGAATTATGTATTCTACTTCGGACGCGTTAGACACAATTCAGACATGGGACTATAATGCTTTTTTTTTTTTTTTTTTTGAACAATTAATATCTCTCCGGACTCAGTCAACGCTCCATTTCGAAATCTCTCTCAAGACCTTTCTTCATTCTCCTTCTTCATTCTTCAATCTTACCAGCGCCAAGAGATTAGTCGTATGTTTTGCTCAACATGTGGGTCTTTCTGCAATCCAAACATGGAGCGAGGTCGATTCTCCTGGGGATGATCTTGTCGTTTCTTAGCTTATCATCACTTGCTCCTCCAGCTGAGTGCCGTTGCAGCGAGGGCTGTGACTTAGCTCTAGCGTCGTACTACGTTTGGGAAGGCACGAACCTCACCTTCACTTCGCAATTGTTCTCTGTTCCTCGCTCCGATATCATTGCCTATAGCCCCCCTGAAAATATTCCGAACCAGGATAACGTCCTTGCAGGCACCAGGATTCTCGTGCCTTTCCGATGTGATTGCCTGGAAAACGGCGAGTTTTTGGGCAAAGTTTTTCCGTACGTTGTTACTCCCGGGGACACGTACGAACCCCTTGCGGGAAGGTACTATTCCAATTTGACGACTGTTGACTTGTTGAGGAGATTTAACAGTTACCCGGAGAACGATATTCCGGATACGGGGGCGACATTGAATGTGACGGTGACTTGCTCGTGCGGGGATAGGGATGTCTCCGAGGACTACGGCTTGTTTGTTACGTATCCCCTGAGGCCGGGGGAGAGCTTGTCGTCGGTGGCAAACGCGGCGAACGTCAGTGAAGATTTGGTTCGTAGGTATAATCCGGGAGTGAATTTCAATGCCGGGAGTGGGGTGGTGTTTGTTCCGGGAAGAGGTATATCTTATTCACGGATACATCCTTCATTTCATATATACACTCTGTGTTAGGATAGGGTAATTTGTTTCATCTTAATTGAACCCTTGATTTTAAAGATAACAGCTTTAGTCCCGGGCTAACTCAGTTGGTTCAACCAATCACCTAAAGTCTTGCCCTAGTTGCAGTTCCTAAAGATCCATTGTTATAGGCAAGGGTAGAAAAGAAAAAAGATAACAGCTTTATTGCAGAGGAGCAGATTTTATTGAGAATTGAGAAAGCTCTAGTCTTTTACTGGTTATATTGTAGAGGGACATTTTGATGGTAATAGGCGGTTTGATAGTGTTCAGTGACATTTCTTGTGCCAATGTTTACCGGAAAGTTTCATTTTTTTTCTGCATTTGATTGAAAGTCTGTTCTATATATTCTAGACTGTTTAAAGGATTGTCATATCCTGGTGTGCATTAAATCATAATATATCAAGAAAAACTGGAGTTAGGACTTCAAAGTTATGGATATATCATGCTTTTTGTATGCATACAACTGGTTTGTCTTGCTAAAACTTTAAACCGATATCTGCATGTCTAACACCCCATGGGTTGCCTTGCAATAGCTTATGCCGTTTAAGATGTTTTCATCCGCTCTCAACTTTTGAAAGGTTTGTTAACTTTGGTGCCTTAAATCTTTTTGCAGATAGAAATGGGAACTTTCCACCTATGCCGCCAAAAAGGTAGCTTTTTAAAGCTTTGATGTTGTTTTCAATAAAAATCATGTCCATTCTTTTCAATTTTACTACTGTTTGCTTATTGCTGACATTTTTTTTTTTGTTTAATTTCATTGTTCTACAGCACAGGTACAATGTTGGATTCTTCATTGTCAATTCTTGGGCTCAATTTGAAGATGTCATAGATGACTTTACAATACCTTAACTTACATTGTTCCTCTATATAACCAGGACTATCAACTGCAGCCAAAGCTGGGATATCTGTAGCAGCAATAGCAGGAGTATTTTTATTGGCAGGTTTAATCTATGTGGGATTTTACAGAAAGAGGAAAGAGAATGTCTCATTGCTGCCAGCTTCTGAAAATCAATCCCATCACTTCGGTAATGATAGTTGTTATTCCCTTTAATGATAGTAAATTAAGAATATGATAACTTGAAAGAATTTGTGTGTCGATCTTTTTGTGTCATCCTTATTGAATGAAACTGATTTAGATATTTTTTTTAGTTAACTGATCCATATTACCCTCTTTGTGAGATTAGGGCAAGAAGTTACGGCACTTAAAGGTGCAGATTCTGCTCGTGCTGCTGATGGAGCTGCTCCGGTCATTTCGGGCATTACTGTTGAAAAATCTGTTGAATTCTCGTATGAAGAACTTGCGAGTGCAACTAGTGACTTCAGCCTCGCAAATAAGATTGGTGAGGGTGGCTTTGGTGCTGTCTACTATGCCGAGCTTAGAGGAGAGGTGTGTGGTTATTTCCGTCTAGATTTTAATAATCTGGAATTATCCTCAGTCCTACTCTTCCTTGACATTCATCTTTTTTTTTTTTTTGCAGAAAGCAGCTATTAAGAAAATGGATATGCAAGCAACAAAAGAATTTCTTGCTGAACTGAAGGTTTTGACACGTGTTCATCACCTGAACCTGGTATTGTGCTAGCTTTTGAGGCTATCCCTTTTCCTTTATATGTGCATTATTCGTCTAAATTTATCCAACTTACTCGGGACTTTTTTTCTGTCATCTTTACCCATCAAGTTTTAGAAAATCTACAGAATTTTGTTCTTGCATAATTATAATAATGAAAGTCGGCTTTCTCTTGCACGGACAAGCCTTGTAAAGCGTTCTTTTTGGTGTATTAAATGCAGGTGCGCTTGATAGGGTACTGTGTTGAAGGTTCTCTCTTCCTTGTATATGAATACATTGAGAATGGCAACTTAAGTCAACATCTGCGTGGTACAGGTAAGATTTTTAGACTTAACTGTTTGATGAAATTATAACCGTTTTTAATCACTCGATGCATTTAATTCCAGGGAGGGACCCGTTACCATGGTCAACTAGGGTGCAAATTGCGCTGGATTCAGCTAGGGGTCTTGAATATATACACGAGCATACGGTTCCTGTATACATCCATCGCGATATTAAACCAGCAAATATCCTAATAGACAAAAACTTCCACGCAAAGGTATTATTATTATTGGAGCCGCTAATTTCAAGATTGTGGATGGTGATTTGATATTCTGTGTTTAAATTTTAAAATTGGTGTACATTGTTTATGATACAGGTTGCTGATTTTGGTTTAACGAAACTGACTGAAGTTGGAAGTTCATCTTTGCCGACACGTTTGGTTGGTACATTTGGGTACATGCCCCCAGAGTAAGTTCTGTAGTCCTTCCTTGACTGCTAATGAAACTATTGGTTTCCATTCTCGAGGATTTATGGAGACGAATTTCACGATACTTGTGCAGGTATGCTCAGTACGGAGACGTCTCTCCCAAAGTTGATGTGTATGCTTTTGGAGTTGTTCTTTATGAGTTAATTTCCGGCAAGGAAGCTATAGTGAAGGCAAACGGTTCTGTAGCCGAGTCAAAAGGCCTAGTTGCTTTGGTAAGTTCTGGTGCCAAGACATTTGAAGCAATTATTCCGTTCCTAAGACCACTTTTGCACTTGTAGTCTATTGTTAGATTTCTTGTTAATTACGACGCTGATCGTTCTTTGTTGGGCTCGTGTACTAACTGTAGCAATTGCGTTCTTTATGATCACAGTTTGAAGAAGTCCTCAATCAACCCGAGCCCAACGATGACATTCGACCGCTGGTTGACCCTAGACTTGGAGACACCTACCCATTGGACTCGGTCCGAAAGGTAATGTTTTTTTTTTTTTACATACTGTACTGATATCTGCATACACTTAAATTCTTCAGTAAAGATTCTTAAATTGATTTTGTGTTTGTTTGGTACTTATAAATGACAGATGGCGCAGCTTGCGAAAGCTTGCACTCACGAGAACCCTCAAATACGGCCAAGCATGAGGTCGATAGTGGTGGCTCTGATGACACTATCGTCGTCAACAGAGGATTGGGATGTGGGCGCCTTCTATGGAAACCAAGGCCTCATAAATCTCATGTCTGGAAGATAGTATAGTAACACTCTGGTTGGTATTTGTAAAATGGACCAACATTTCATTTACAGTGTTGTTGTGTATCTTTGCATTATTTACCACATTTTTTGTTTGTATATAATACTGTGTAACAGTTTGATGAGTGGAATAAATCTGCAGCGCTGTGGGAAGAATTAAGAATACTCTGTCCCACCCATCTCTAATATGTACTCTAAATATTTACCTTCATTGTGGATCATATAGATTCAAATCTTGGATTTGTAAGGAACTTGGAAGTTATTACATAATAGAGTTAATTCTATGAATATTCCTTGAGTTTGATATTTACCAATTTTTATGTTAGACTTTCAATTAAATCATAAATAGTCAATTGATTATTCACATTTATCAATTTTTAACACCGACTTTCAATTTGACTATAAATGATTTTTTGACTATTAATTTTGTTCTGAATTTGGCCCTCTAGTTAAATACCTATCTAGTAAACATTAAATTTAATGGTAATAATGTAAAATTTCGGTTATTCACATTACCACTAATATTAAGAATCACAATTAAATGCTCAAAAGAGTGGTGAGTGGGTGGAGCATGATTTTTTTAGTACGATTTACCTTTCCCGTGTGATTTGTGGGTACGCATCCTCAAGGAGGAGTTGTGGATTTCCTTTGTCACAAAAAAATGTTAATTCTACTAAATTTTTATACTTAATTTTATAAAATTTGATATGATTCACATATCCTATTCTGCATACTTTTTGATTACGTAAATTGATTAAACTTATACGAGTTAAAATAAAGTTACATGGTACACTATTGATTGAAGAATTTTGATGCAAGTAACATTTTTTTAGGCAATATGCACAAGATTTTCCCACACTACTTCTCGCTTACAGATATTATTATTATTATTATTATTATTATTATTATTATATTTCAATAAAAAAAAAAAACTAAATCTTAAGATTATGATTAATATGATCCTAAAAATTCACCAACTAATCGGCATAAATGCAGACCTTATAACAAATTCTAAAACCTTTTATTACATAAATTAAAGTCACACAAGTTGCAAATTTCACATTTTCCCATTTGGTAACAAGGTCAAAAAAATCAGAAAAAGAAATTTAATTTTAATTTGTAATTTATGATTCCAAATTAGGAAAATCTGCTTACTTTGGAAATAAATGAATGCAGTAAATGCATAGTGTGCACCAGGTATAGATAATTTATTATTGAGAATTGGCTGTAATGGCATTACTGTATTACCCCTAAAGTTGTAACTTGTTAAAAGGTGAAATGCTTCATTTGTTTCATTTTTGTGACAAATTGACAACCTTATATTCATTCTCAAGTAAAGCTTCTCATATAGCCAACACTGCCTCTTCTTCCAAATACTCCACCTGATTCAAAGTGATGAAGTGAAAGTAATAATGGAGAATGAAACAATGACCGGAAGTTCAATAGCAGAGTCATGTAAACAGGTATGTGCATTCAAGTAAATTTCACGCATTTGGAAACACGTTGACAGTAAATTTAAAAAAACAATTTCTAAACACTGTTTATTTGCTATGCACTTTTAAACATTTCTAAATGTACAATCGTAATTAGAGAAATGTCACCGTATTTTCGTCTTATTTTTAAATCGTTAGATCTACTAGATCGTTGGGTACTTCCGTACTTGTATAGGATTTGTCCACACTTCTCTCTTGGAAAAGTGTGTGTGTGTGTGTACGTGTGCGCGCGTCCAGCGGACACACTCTAACTCACAAAATTGTTATTTTATTTTAAATTTCAAATAATACCACATTTGATATAAATTTGGAAATGATGTAAAATGACCAAACATTGAAATTATAGTTATACACAATGTATCAAAGTTAAAATTATTATTTTTCGTCCAATTCGTTCTATGCTTGTAGATTTTTTCTAAAAAAGAGTTTATTTAATCCTAATTAATAAAATTAGTAAGGCTATTTGCGGACTTTATAACTTATGAGTTTAGATGAGAATATTTTTCTCGAAAAAGAAAAACTCATGACGGGAGCTTTTAAAGTTGAATTTGGCCTTGTTTGGTAAACGATATAATTTTTCTGAATTAGCTTTTAATTGTTTAATTTGGTCAAACAACTAAAATATATGTTTGGTAACAAGCTTTTTTCTTTAACTTTTTGGTCTAAAAAGTTAAAATTGAAAACGCGGCTTTGATTAGCATTCTCAATCAGTGATTTGGGAAAAAATATTTTTTTTCCAACAAAAGTGAAAATGTTTTTTTTTTTTTTTAACTAATTATTGGAAACGTTTTCACTTCAGATCAGAACCTCTCCATTTAAAAATAATTTAACAAATTAATTTTGTTATTTTTATTAAGTTTGTTATGATTAAAGATTACATTTTGGTGCAGCGAAGAAGAGGTGATGAAGTCCCGAAGAAGAAGGGTATGAAAGTTCCAAAATGGGTGGAATCCTTAACAAAGAAAACATTTTTTGGTAGCTGTCCAGTCCATGATGAGCTTGAACTGAATGGGTATTGCATTGAGTGTGATTTAGCTGTGTGCAAGCACTGCATTATCTCATCATCATCATCTCATCATCAACAACACAACATCCTCAAGATTTATCGACATGTGTACCAGGATGTTGTTCTCTTCGATGAGATCAAACCATACCTTGACATCTCCAAAATCCAGGTATCTATATATTTTATACCTGCAGGCCGGCCTGTAATATATTATATTATATATATATGAGTACGTACGTGTTTCCGGCCTAGCTTATATATATATATATATTCCAAGTACTAATAATAACGTAACAGACATACAAATGCAACAAGAAGTGGATAATATCTTTCAACCCACTACCACACAGTGGTTCAGGCTCACAATGCTCTGATCAGAGAGAGTGTTGTGATATATGCAAAAGGAAATTGCACGATCCTCATCTCTATCGCTTCTGTTGTATTGCATGCAAGGTACGTAATGTACAACTAAACTACACACAACATATATTCTTTAGAAAATATGAATTTAATTAAAACTATATTTATTTTGCAATGTTAAGTTATTTGATTATCTTTATTTTTATGTGTATAGCTGGAAGCTTGTTCAATTGAGAAGACTGATGATGAGGAGAATCAAAACACAACAAATTCCCGCAAACGCAAAAGAAAGGCAACTCCCCACCGAGCACCCTTCTTCTAACTCATTATTGTTGAGTTTGATTTAGATAAGTTTGTCATCATAAGCTAAATGTTACGTTGGAACACTTTTTCTAAGCATTTAAACATATATTATTTATAAAACTGTTTTTTTACAATAATTTTTATTTACTACTCCGTATTAGAGAATTGAAGCACTTTTATTGGCTATTAACATTGCTTATATATAAAAATTTAATTAGTTTACACAAAAACATTATTTTATTTTATTTATATTAAACTCTATATATATAGTTGGATTAAGATATTAAGATGGCTTCTTCTTCTTCTATTCCCTTGGGAAGGGGTAGAAGATGCATAGGAGTATTTTATTTGCTTATTGCATGGGTTTTTTTAAAACCATAACTGAACTGATCAATCAAACTTAGGAATGAAATGGAATCATACATACAATGAAAAATCACTGTAAATAAATTAATTTATTATCCATCATTTCTGAATACAGTGATCATAGTACAATACTTCACCACCATCTTTCAAAGGGGCCAAGACAATAAAAATAAAATAAATGGGAGCACACAATAGCCAAACTGTAAGTAGTCAAGAAAAATTCAGAAGATGATAATAACATATTGCATAAATAATACAACTGCCATTGAGAGATTTTAATCACTGAAATTCAATGAACATTGGGCAGAAGAATACATGCAATATTCGTATTCAAAGAAGCTAATGTTTTGAATAGCATAGCTAGGATCAGTTATTTTGGTGAACAGCAATATGGTGTATGTCCATATCCTTTAACATAACTGATCGGCCACATGAATCACAAGGGGCAGTTCTGGATCCACACAAACTCTCGTGCTCTGTAAGTCCTCTTAGCCGGTCTCGCACATCCGCAGCTGAATTCCCAGCTTGGACCATGTCTCCACAGAAGCAGCATGTAATTAACCGCAAATGGCACTCGGAAGATTGATGTTGCACCTATTCTCAGCAGCAGGGGGAAATAATTACAAACACCAATAAATAATAACAATAGACTACCGACCACAAAAGAAGTATATAAAATGAGTTCCAAAAACATGAGAAGCAAACAAATTTTCAGCAGCAGAATATTTTCTTTGAAAGTTGTAAAGAAGTTATATACACACAACCCCAATGCCCAAAACCCAAAATGAAGCTATAAATGAATACCAAAGGAAGTAATTCATCTCAAGAATAATAAATAAATAAATAAATATGGAAAACACCATCTTTTCTTACCATCTTTTCTTTCTCAAGGACAACACCACACGGGCAATTAAGTGGCTCATGGAAAACTTTCATATGCTTCTCAATCTCTTCCTTCTGAAAAGCTTGCCCACATTTAACACAGTGTACATGTTTCTCTGCTTCTTCTCTCCTCAGAACAATCCCACAACTGGCATGCTGACAGACAATGTTGTGCCTGCTACAGTATGCTTCATGTAGCGCTATACTTCTGGAAGGTATGTTATGCTTACAATTCCGGCATTCAACAGTGTCCGTCTCAGATGTGGAAACTGAGGTTTGCAGGCCCAACTTTGGCTTCAATTTCTCTTGAACTGTCACTGTCACCTGGTATCTGGTTGATCCCTTGAAACCATAAACACCAATACTGTAAGTATCTGCTCCCAAGCCTTGGTCCCTGGAACCAAGAACTAAAGCTTTTGAACCCACATCATGGGAAGACCACCCATGCTGGTGTTGTGTGGGGAATAACAGAGGATGTCTGGAAATATACAAATCAGTATCTCCATCTTGTGCTGTTGATTCTACCTTCACCTCAATTTCAGCATCCCCAGATGAAATTCTTAACCAAGTACCATCATCTATGGAGAATTTATAGTAGATGTAGTTGCCCTCCTCAACAACTCCAACTTCTGGCTTCCCAAAAGTTAGAGGTCTTAGTATATGCTGACTTGTTCCTTCTGCAGCTGGATCAGCACCGATTACATCAACCTCTATATCTGTTTCTAAAACAGATACACTAGAAGAAGGTTTCAACTCAAGCACACGCAAATGGTATGTCAGCACACCATGACTAACAGTGAGAACATCGCCTTCTGATAGTGTTGCATGCTGCCGAAGGCTTGTTTCAAGAACAGCCTTGTGATTAGGTATGTCAGAAAAGCCTGGCTCAACAGGTTGTAGTTTTGCATATGTTCCTTTTGCTAGCCACACATATTGCACTTCAACTGTAGGGGATGTTGGGTTGTCAACAGAGAATAAGTTACTCCATATATGAGGAGGCAGCCCTGCAAAGCCTTCCTCTGCAGTGAACTCCAACACACCCGCATGTGTTTTCCTGTTGGTCAGTCCTTCATCATTTGTGTTCGAAGAACTGCTTTGATGAATGACAGTCAAAGAGAAGTGCAGTGGTCCTTTGTCAAAGGCACCTTGTTCAGACAATTCAGTAAAGCAAGATGGAGGCAATTTAATTTTATCTCCACTACCTTGATAAGGTACAGCTTCTAAAACACGACAAAACACAATTCCACGCCCAGCTATAAGACTCTCTTGCATTTGCTGATTTGCCTGAAACAGAAGTCATATACATTAGACACACAGTAATACTCCATGATATTTTAGTTATGAGTATGGACACTAAATCACAATGAACTGAATTAAAAGATAAATTTCTTCAAGGATGGTTACATTTTTGTTGTGTGGAAGGGCCATACTCTAACTAAAATTTCATCTAGTTCTTTTATTTCCCCCCCCCCCCCCCCTTCTAAACCCAATGGTAGGATTGCATTTGTCTCTCTTTCCCATTCATTTACACTGTCACTCGAGAGAGACTAATCTGATATTAAGAGCATTATATCTTTGCATTGTTGTTTTAATAATTCTAATGGGTTATGATTAAATAGGGGAAAATGAACATATCAAGCCCAAATCAACCATTAGTACTTAGTTGCACTGGCAAATTCTAAGAATTTCCATTAACCAGACAGATTTAGTAGGTATTAGGTAGAGGAACTACTATGCACGCCATAAACAAATTCAATGATAAATCGAACTAATTTTCTGAAGAATTCACAAAATCAATACAACCAAATACAAGGTCTAGAACAAGTAAGAAAACTGCAGGTTTTGGCCGAAAGGGCTAAAACCAATATCCAATGCTATTAAAACTGAATTAGGTTATAATTTCAATTTTTGAAAAATCAAATTAAAATCTCAAAATGAAACTAAAGAACAATTAGCAGTGATTCCAAGCAAAATTAAGAAAAAGCATCATAATGAAAATAAGGGTTCAAGCAATAGTGAAAAACACAACTAACACGAACGCAGATACATCGATCGTCAATTCGTATAATCATGGTAAAAAGGAGAGATTAAGAGAAGCATGGAGAATATACTTTAGCTTCGGCTTCGGCGGCATCGATACGGCGAGCACGTTGGGCGGCTTCGATGGCTTCCCGCTGGCGAATGGCCTCTTGTTTGGCTTTCTTCTCCCTCTCCAATCTCAACTTAGCCCTCTCTTTCCTCTCCTTCTGCTCAATCTCCAGCTTCTCCCTCGCTCTTCTCAGCTCAAAATCCATTTCTTCCCCTCACAATGTTCCAATTACTCCTTTTCTGTGTCAATCTCGCGTCTCTTATACTGGCGATGATCGGCAGGCAAAGGTAATTTCGACTTGGTTTCCCAACTCCCAAGTCTTGGAGGAGAAGAATGATGACGTCAACATCTGCGAGCTGTTGATGTATGAGTATGACTAGATTAGAACTAACGAACGGGTTCCCGATTCGAGAAGATTCTGGGCCTTTCTTTTAACTTTGGGTCGCCGGACTCAAAAGCCCAGTTTATGAGGCCCACTCATTCCCTGTAGGATAGTTATGCTGTGCATCCGTATGCACCAGGATGCAAAAACATATCGTTTTATTAAAAAAACGCGTCTCCTCTTAAAAAAAATTAGGTTCGATTCCCAGAAACAGCATTATGTTGTTCATTCATTTTGAAATTTTAGTTCATAGATTATGGAATTTTAGTTCATTGATTCTGGAATTATAGTTCATCGATTCTGGAATTGTAGTTCATCGATTCTGAAATTGTAGTTCATAGATTCTGGAATTTTAGTTCATTCATTCTGGAATTTTTAGTTCATAGATTAGATTCTGGAATTATAATTCATCGATTCTGGAATTATAGTTTATCGATTCTGAAATTTTAATTCATATGTTGTTGCTGGGAACCTGATTTTTTTTTTTAAGGGGAGACGCGCGTTTTTAATAAAATGACATCGTTTTTGCATCCATATGCACCATGCATGGTGCATACGGATGCACAACATAATTTGCCTTCCCTGTAGGCAGATTATGCTGTGAGCACATGCCCACCTTGCAAGGTGGGTACGATTTCATATCCATAATTTATATAATGTAGATTCATAATTTTTATATTGTAGATTCATAATTTCTATATTGTAGATTCATAAAATTTATACTTTAGATTCCAATTGTTGAACTCTGTTTTCACAAATCAGAGAATTCATAATTTGATAACTATACAGTTTAGAAATTTTGAATTTACAGTACAGAAATTATGAATCTACAGTATAGATATTATAAATCTGCAGTATATAAATTATGAATCTATTATATTTAAATTATGAATCTACGATTTAGAAATTATGAATTTATAAAGTATAAATTTTATGAATCTACAATATAGAAATTATGTATCTACATTATAAAAACTATGAATCTACAGTATAAAAATTGTGGATATAGAACCGTGCCCACCTTGCAAGGTGGGCACATGCTCACAGCATAACGTTCCTTCTCTGTACTCTCGGTTTTAAACATACATAGTAGACTATATTGGTCTCAACTCTCAAGTCTCACAAATCACAATTTAATAGGAGTTTTGATTAATTTAGGTAGTGTTTGATTGGATACTTTTTTTTCTTTTGGGTATACTTAGTGTTTTTACTGTCGAATACAATGACTAATCCACTCGCTAAATTATACATACTTTTTTTGAGTGGAAAAGTTTACACTTTATTATGAGTTTTGATATTTATTATAATGTTTTTTGGTCTATTTTTATTATTCTACTATTGAAATCAAATTTTTTAGTAATTTCAAAACTTATTACTCTTTTTATTTATCTACTTTTGAACAATGGAATCAAAAATAAAAATAAAAAAAGGTCATTGTTCATACATTAAATATGAAATTTCAATACACTTATACACACATATATGATATATATATATATATATATATATATATATATATATATATATATATATGTATTATATATTTATTTATTTTTATTTTAATTAACATTTAGTTATTTATTTGAATTACAATTTCTATTTACTACCAAATAAAGTGATTCATTCTACTTAAACTCATTATCATTACCATTCTAATTCCAATGTTTGAACCAAGTACATTCACTTCAATAATCAAGTTCTAACCTCAAGAATTATGGATTTATGGTAAGTAGTTCAATTGTCAACGCTTGTGTTGTTTAGTTGACATATGAGATTATTTGTCCTACATAAGATAGGTTTTATTTTTATTTTTATTTTTATTATAAGGAATAAGGTGATACCCTACATATACACACCATTTACCTCAACTAAGGTTTGAACCTTACATCTCCTATTTAATCCGATACCAGTGGACTACAAGTCACTTGATTGATAGGTATATTATTTAGTATAACATATAGTAATTTATATTAGAGAAATGTTATAATGTTGTACATAAAAATGTCACATATTCACTAAGGCTGTGTTTGAAAATTCGGAAAATGATTTCTGAAAATCATTTTTTGGGTTTTTGGTGTTTGGCTATACTTAGAAAATTCAGTCAACGAATTTCATTTTCCGTTGATTGGGGAAAATGTGCTCAATTTGGTGAAAAATGACTTCCGCCAAATTTTGGCGGAAGTCATTTTCCGCCATTTGCTATTTCATTTTTTTTTTAAAAGTTTGTGGCGGAACTGGTTTCCGCCGAAAACCATGGCCATGGTTTCTGGCGGAACTGGGTTCCACCGAAAATCATAATTAATTTTTTTTTTAGTTTTAAACATTTAAAATGCATTTGTTATTTTAAATAAAATAATTAAAATATTTAATTATACTATTCTACTCATTTTCCAGAAAATGAATCAAACACACCAAAACAGTTTTCCAAATGCAACCAAACACTGAAAAAAAAAAATATTTTCAAAAAAATAACTCATTTTTCAGAAGTCATTTTTCTTCCTTTCAAACGGACCCTTAATTATATATTTTATAATTGTTACGGATGGTGAATCACGGTAAACCGTGCCCGCAATACATATGTTAGCTCCTGTCTTTGTCATTATGCACTTGGGACAAGCTGTTTGAAATAGTTGACACTATCAATAATTATACAATGAGGAATAGTGAGTCAAGGACACCTCCCTAGTCTAAAATCTAAAATATAAATATAGTACACATCAGCCATTTATACGAAACAATTAAATTAATGAAAGAAATTGAAATATATTTCATTACACGACAGAATTGTTGTGCATAAACTAACTGGGAGTCATACTGAAGCGTACATGGCTACATCTGTCCCTGCACAAATATAAAACTTCGTTTGGCACATGGACCCCCAGGCCACCAATTTGGTTTAATTCACAATTTATGATAAGAATAACAATTATTTTTAAACTTGATAACAACAGATATAAAATGTAGAGAATAGAGGGGAGATTTTTTTTTTTTTTATTATTTTTTTTTTTTTAAACTCAGGTGATATTCTAATTTTCTAATTCTGATTTTCATGTGTACAAGTGATTGTTGTCTTTAGTGCTTTCAGTGAAATTTAAACTTCTACACTGCAACCTCCAATCTTGACTTTTAAAGAGTAAATATTCAAAATGGTCCCTCGACTATAGTTAAATTCACAAATTGGTCCTCAACTTTCAATTTCACTCAATTAAGTCCTTAACTTTGTAATTTTGACACGATTTGGTCCTCCATCTAATTGATCGTTTGTTGACCGTGATCGACGATCTCCAGAAGAACCTTAAGCTTTCGTCGGAGCATGTGGAGGCCTCTAGGATGACGTTGCACCGGTTCGGAAACACGTCGTCTTCTTCGCTCTGGTACGAATTCAACTACATTGAATCCAAAGGGATGATGAAGAAGGTGACCGGGTTTGGTAGATTGCTTTCGACAGTGAATTCAAATGTAACAGTGCGATCTGAAAATGTAACCGGAACCTTAAAAAACTGACGATGGACCATGAAATTACATATATATCCTCAAAAATCACAGTCAACAAACGGTCAAATAGACAGAGGACCAAATTGTGTTAAAATTACAAAGTTAAGGACTTAATTGTGTAAAATTGAAAGTTGAGGACCAATTTGTGAATTTAGCTATAGTCGAGGGACCATTTTGGGTATTTACTCACTTTTAAATTATGTGACGAACCAATTACTTTAAGTCTTAGTGGGTGAATTGAAGATTTATTTGTAATACCTGTTGGGTAGGGGCGGGCCAGCGGGCAAGGATAGCACCTGCCCTATCTGATCTGATACAAGTAATAGATATAGAGTGTCTATATCCAAAATACCAAAATAATTAATTAAAGTTTGTGATTAATTGAAATGAAATTTGGTACATAATCCTAATATGATATAAGCCCATGTTCGCTGAACGTATTATCATTCAATTCCGCAGTTATGATTTCATTTCAACGCCAATAATGGCTAATGGTAACATGTTTTCAGAAATTCCCGCATCTTGTGGAGTCCCCACATCGAATCATCCGGGACCACGCGATCCACCCCGTTGAAAGATCAGACGTGGTCCCCACTACAGCCAGACTCCTCGACAGCCGTCCATCTCAGAACCATAAGATCAAGCGGCTGACGATATCTTAGTCATAAAGTAGCCGTTACCTAAGATAAATAAAACATGCCTTATTTGCCGACATCAAACTGCTCCATGCGATTCGTGTTTTGAATAATGCACCAAAAGCAACAAAATTTCTCGCGAATTTTTTAATGACGATTAATCGAGCAAATCCTACGTATTAAGCATCCGTCCCCCACTTAAGCGTTTTTCCATTTATATTTTCTTTCTCAGATATTTTTTGTACTCCATCTTGTCTGTTTTTCTGCTTTCCACCTCCATTGCAGCGGCAAAAAGCTTTTTTTACGCTGTCGTTTTGCTCTTTGCACTTTTAGTGGGCTCCACAGTTCACGTTTGCAGTCTCTTCTCTTCGTTTTCAGCTCTTTCGCTGTTACGAGATTCATATACAGACTGACAGACACACTTCCCGTTCGTGCTCTTCTTCTCAATATACCTGTAATTCTGTTTGTATTATGAATATTATAATGTTGAATTTCTCTTTAGACATATTTTTGTGCTATCTGGAATTTGCTGTATTTTTATTGTAATTTTATCATGAATGGTGAAGGGGACTGAAGGTAGTGCTCTTGTACTCCAGGAAAAATGATTTTCTGCAGTAGATTTGTTTCAAGTAATGGCCGTTTATCAGTTTATGTTTATTATCTGGTATTGCTTTTAGATGGTAAAATTAAGAATTACTGAGATTCTTCTGACTCTCATGTCAAGGAAGGATCAAGGATGTCTTAATAATGTCTAGCATATGATGCTGCCTTGGGGACCATTGACAACTGGATATTTTTCGGGATAAACTATGTATGTATGTTGTGTCTTTGTATGAATTATACATTCATATACAATTGTTATAACTGTGGTGGGGGCATGATGAATGGTGTTGCGTCATCCGTGATGGTGATGACATGGATAGGAATTATATTAAACTGTTGATGTGAAAAAGTTGTGCATCCCCAATTTGCTTTATTATGTATTGAGGGATTGTAGTAGATGATCACACGATGCAAAATTTGCCGCTTGGCCTGTGTTCTAGCTTCCTTCTTGCTCTTCCTAACAAAAATACTTATACTTGATCAGTGTTTATGCTTCACATATGATGTTTTCATAAGGGTTTTTTATATTGCAGGAAAATATTCGTTTGATGCTGGCGTATGGCAACTCTTAGTGATATTGGTGTTGCAGCTGCGATTAATATCCTCAGTGCATTTGCCTTCTTTGTGGCGTTTGCTGTCCTTCGATTACAGCCTGTCAATGATCGGGTCTACTTCCCAAAATGGTATCTCAAGGGTCTAAGAAATACCCCCTTGACCTCAGGGGCACTAGTCCAAAGATTTGTCAATTTGGATTTCCGGTCTTACTTGAGATTTCTCAACTGGATGCCTGCTGCATTGCAAATGCCAGAAGCAGAGCTTATTGATCATGCAGGATTAGACTCTGTTGTTTACTTGAGGATTTACTTGACTGGGTATTTGCAACTTCGTTTTTGCTTTTTAAAATCCAAACATTATTCAACTAGAGAGATTATAAACCAAATAGTAGTCAAGGAGGGTGGGGTGAATGTTTGGAAATAAGCAAATGTTGGCTTTAATGATGATATGCGTATGCATGCTCATAGCATATATTGGTTTCTTCTAAGTCTTTCATGATGACATAACAAGTTCATTAGAGTAGAATTTTATGTTTTTGGACTAATATTTTTTCTCATTATTTATTTACTTTCCCTAACGCAGGATTAAAATATTTGTTCCTATTGCTTTCATCGCTTTTACAGTCATGGTTCCAGTTAACTGGACAAATCGCACCTTGGAGCAATCTAATTTGACTTATAGTGATTTAGACAAGCTTTCGATTTCAAATATACCTATGGGATCCCAGAGGTGAGAGGTTTGCAATACACTTTGGAGTTTGCTATTTTATTTTTCCGAATTGCATCTAATATATATTTATGTGTATACAACTTGTATTTTCATTTTACTCTTTCTATTGCTCATCTTGTGGCCTTTGGCCTTGCTTCTTAGTTAGTTAGTACATATACAGTATTAGAACTGTAAGTTTTGTTTGTTGGACAAGAAAATGTGATGTTGTTAACATGATGATTTCTGTTTGTCCTTAAAAAAACACATTTACGACAGTTTGTTTTAAAAACAATTCATTAACTCTCATATATTCTTTTGTAAAGCAAGCATGACAATATTTTAGGACAGGAAGAGTATTTAATTGTGTATATAACTTCATACTTACTGTGCTCAAATCTTGCCTAAATAAAATTTCATTATGTTTTTCACTTGACATTTATTGCAGATTCTGGACTCACTTAGTAATGGCTTATATGTTTACCTTCTGGACATGTTATGTGTTAAAAAGGGAGTATGCGATTGTTGCATCAATGAGGTTACATTTTCTTGCATCAGAACATCGGCGCCCTGATCAATTTACTGTAAGGGACAATTAATTCTATCTAAAGTCTAAACCTCCACAGTTTGGAAAAATGGTCTTGCAATCTGTGTGATTGAAATGACCATGACTAAAATGGTCTTAAGATTTAGTGAATGCTTTTTAACCGGTGAAAATTTTCAATTTGCTTCAGGTACTGGTTAGAAATGTGCCACCAGACCCTGATGAATCGGTTAGTGAGCTTGTGGAGCACTTCTTTTTGGTCAACCATCCAGATCACTATCTCACTCATCAGGTTTTACTTCCCTTTTTCGGTTTTTGATGTGATGACATATTGAGCTTATATACTTGTCGCATTCTTCTGTTAGTAGTTTGTAGAGGCAAGTTTACTTGCAAATTTAATAACTAGAATCCTTGTACTTGCATTTAAGGTTGTATACAATGCGAACAAACTGTCAGAACTTGTCAGTGAGAAGAAGAAAAAGCAGAATTGGCTTGACTACTATCAACTAAAGTTTGCAAGAAAACAGTTGGAAAGGCCAAGATTTAAGGTAATATACTCTTGGCTTAGTAATTGTTTAGGTTGCAAGTTGATTTTATAGCAGTTTTTAATGTGGTCAAAATGCTTATTTCTCATTTCAAATTACTAACAACTTGCTGGGAATATGTTTTACGTTAAAAACAGGGTGGTTTTCTTGGCTGTTATGGTGAGAGTGTGGATGCAATTGATTTCTATAGTTCTGAAATTGAAAGACTCTCAAGGGAGGTAAGAACACTTTATTATAAACATTTCCTGTGATTTTAGTCAAACATTGTTGAAACATTAGTAGCAAACTTTTGTTTTTATTATTATTATTTTTGTTCTTTCATAATAACTTTACTCGTAGTGATGTATGGCAGATATGTACAGAGAGGATGAACATTATTAGCAATAGCAAATATATAGTTCCAGCTGCATTTGTTTCGTTCAAGACACGATGGGCTGCTGCTGTTTGTGCACAAACACAACAGTCTCGAAACCCAACCATCTGGCTGACTGAGTGGGCCCCGGAGCCTCGTGATGTGTACTGGGATAATCTGGCAATTCCATACGTTTCACTTGCAATCAGAAAGCTTGTTGTTGGCGTGGCATTCTTCTTCCTTACCTTTTTCTTCATGATTCCCATCGCGTTTGTACAGTCTCTTGCTAACATTGAGGGAATTGAGAAGGTGTTTCCCTTCCTGAAGGAAATAATTGAAATGTGAGTATCCCGCCCCACCCCGCCCCTCCATCACAATATCACATTTTGCTTCTCAAAGTTCATTGGCAACATTACATCTAATTCCTTTGCTGTTTTCTCTTGTGCAGGAAAGCGGTGAAGTCTTTCATACAAGGATTTCTTCCCGGGATTGCTTTGAAGATTTTTCTTATATTTCTACCCTCAATACTGATGCTAATGTCAAAATTTGAAGGATTTAGCTCCATATCAGCTCTTGAGAGGAGATCTGCAACAAGATACTATATTTTCCAGTTCATCAATGTATTTCTTGGAAGCATCATCACGGGGACCGCTTTTCAACAACTAAATAATTTTCTCCATCAATCTGCAAATGAGTAAGTTTTTCATACTTAGAATGTGACAATAATAATGTAGCCAATTAGTCTAATCAATTGAATTTATTGCAGTATCCCAAAGACAGTTGGTGTATCGATCCCGATGAAGGCAACGTTCTTTATAACTTACATAATGGTGGATGGATGGGCAGGAGTTGCGGGGGAGATTCTGAGGTTGAAGCCTTTAATAATGTTTCACTTGAAAAATTTCTTCTTGGTGAAGACGGAGAAGGATAGGGAAGAAGCTATGGATCCTGGGAGTCTTGGTTTCAACACAGGCGAGCCTCAAATCCAGCTTTATTTCTTACTTGGCCTGGTTTATGCTGTCGTCTCTCCAATTTTACTCCCCTTCATTATAGTGTTTTTCACCCTAGCTTATGTCGTATATCGCCACCAGGTAGGTAAAACCACCAAGTTATTATCATTATACCTCCATGGCCATGCATAGAAGAAGAAACTTAACACTTTTTTTTTTATCTGTTCAACATTTAATTAGATCATCAATGTGTACAACCAAGAGTACGAGAGTGCAGCAGCATTCTGGCCTGATGTGCATGGGCGCATCATAACTGCTCTTATCGTCTCGCAACTGCTTCTGATGGGATTGCTGAGCACAAAACGGGCCTCTCATTCAACTCCGCTGCTTATTACACTCCCAATACTCACTATATGGTTCCATTTGTTTTGTAAAGGCCGCTATGAACCAGCTTTCATCAGATATCCTCTTCAGGTATTATATATAATATTAATCACTTTGCCCACGTATATTCTCTGTTTGCTTGGTTGTGAATTGTGATAACAAATTTTGATTATTTTTTGTGTAGGAGGCGATGATGAAAGATACTCTGGAACGCACAAAGGAACCCAACTTGAACTTGAAAGAGTACCTCCAGAACGCCTACATCCACCCAGTCTTCAACGCCGGAGATGATAGCGACGGCGACAGCGACGCCGGCAGTGATGAAGATTTGGAGCAGCAACCCACACTTGTTCAGACAAAGCGCCAATCTAGAAGGAACACGCCGCGCCCCAGTCAAAAGAGCCAGTCTTCTCGTTACCTTCTGTCCGAGGTTGAGCTTAAGTCGCAGGTATAAGCTAGGGGGGACAAGCCTACCAAACCTCTTACTATATAGTATCATGCTTCATTAGTGTTTACCATTAGATTTTCAGAGTACAATACTAGAGGGATTGAGGGAAATCAAATTCATTTTCCCCTACTTTTCACCCATCCATACAGATTTCATCCTTACAACTAAAGTCTATAAAATGTCAATATACAGTAAATTTTTTTGTTTTGGGTGACGAGGTAACTGCAATCACTAAGGATGGTGTGTACTAAGTACTGTTACCTTGATTGGCAAAGGGATCGGCTCAAACAAAAAAGTGAATAGGTCGTTTTCATTGGGTGTCAAACTTAGAACATTGTAATTATCAACTAACTTTTATGACCTGACTAGTTTTGACTAATTATTATTAAAACAAAAATATGATTGATTTTACAATTAAACAGTTAAATACATCAAACATTATGCCGTGATTGCCTCTCCCATCTTGAATATATCTTCTGGTCGTTGAGAAAGTCACAACTTTGGAGGGACTAAATTTAGGATTAAGCACCACCACAACATTTCACATGACAATAAATATTTATTTATTGCAATCTGAGTTGTTGTGTCTAAAACTCTTAATTAACTAGGGGTTCCACACTTTTCTAGAGTGTAATAATATACTCCTGTAATTAATATGCCTCGTGACCCCTATAGTGGAATGTAAAAATGACACTTCTACTTCTTTTTTTCTTAATTGTGATCTTAGTGTTGATTTAAATCTATTAATTACTATTTTAAAAAATTTTCATTCCTAATTTTTTTGTTCTCCAAATACAGTGTGAAAATGTATTTTATATTTTCTTTCCTCCGTTTTCATTCCTTCAAAAAAAAAAATCTCAATTAATAAATCTACTAAAAATATCATCATTTTCTGAAAATAATAAACATAAAAAAGAAGAGAGAGCTTGGACAAGCATGTGCTGCCAAATAAAGAAAAGAAAATACGAGTAATTATTTAATAATGGAGCCCACACAAATACAGCTGTTTCAAATATAATATTTGTTACTATTATTGACTAAAACTATTGAAGACTGCAGTTAGGCAGGTCATCTGGTCCGAGTGAGACAGATATTGGGTAAATGGGTCAATTGAGCCGACATTTAAATTAAATTTAATCCCACAAAATATAAATTATATTTAAGGAAACAAAAAACCCTAAAAAAAATTATTCCAGCCGTGTCGCACAATAATGTGTATAGATTCTCTAATCGACTAAGAATACAAGAAACGACACCGATTCATTGAATAGCTGTTGCCGACAACCCATATCCTTTCCCAAAGTATGAAATGACAATTCTAACCAAATATCGTCCTGAATTTGCATTGAATCCCTTCACGATAGAATAATGTTTTTGGAAATAGCCAAAATTTGCGTGTGATGACAGTAAATATACAAGTGGAATGGTTGGTGTTTGAGTAATTGCACACTGTATTTTACACGTTTCCACACTGCATTAATGGTATGAATCTTTATATACTATATATATTAAATCATTTTATATTAAGAAAATGGTAAGTAGACTTCAAAGTAAAATTAATAAATTATGATTAAGTGTTTAAATTTTAAAAAGGAAAGAAATAAATAAAAATTATTTTCTATATTTAATTCACTACTTAACATAAAAATTACACTTTTAAGATAAAAAATGTAATTTTTATAACTGTTACCAAAATTAAATTAAGAATAAATTCTTAAAACCTCACATCCGTAACACTAATACCATAAATCTCTGTTTTTGTAATAACATAAATACAAAATAAATAAATCTCAAAACACAAAATATCCATTTATGTATAACACCACAAAATTTTACATTACACAAACGGAAATCTCATGTTACCATTTCACCTAATAAATTTTTCTGTAAAAAGAACATCATCATTATTATGCTATCTGTAATATACCGATCGATCCAGTAGTAATATATGGAGAACAGCAAAAATAAATCTTGGTTTCTTCTTCTTCAGTCCTCTATGCAGAACCCAAAAAACGAATACAATAGTAATAATTAATTAATAACAACAAGCTAATTAAGTTTACAGGGCGGCCGGAAAATCAAGATTCAGGCGACTGAAAACGGCGATTTTGTTAGAACTTAGAAGATCTCGTAATCATCTGCCGCTCCGGATAAGAGATGCGATTTGCGAGCCTTCAATCTCTTCAGAACTCTGTCAAGCGTGATGTCAAACGCGTCTCTGATACTTCCCAGGCCTTCTTTCCGGCTGGCGTAAAGCATTTTGGGCATCAGATCTATCAGCGTCTCTCTCATCTGTCTAACGTTGTCTGGGTGGACTCTTTTTAGGACGTCTCTGATCACCGTACCGTTGGTATTTCTTACGTCGTTGTGGTCGACGTAGACGGTGAATGTCTCCGAAATCCACGGCAGGTGCCACACGTACTGGTCCTTGTACGTGCCTTGCCAGAAGTACACCGGGACGGCGCCGGAGATCATACAGTCGTACATTGACCGTCGGGTCATGCCGTCTCCTTTGGGTTGGAGGCAGAAATCGGAGTGGAGGAAGGCGTCGAACACGGCCGGCGACCCGTCGGAGCACATCACGGCGGAGCAGTCCACCGCGCGGCAGTCATCCTCGTCGATGCAGTAGTCCATTAGCATGCCTCGGAAGTCGTTCTTGATTTTGTGGCGCTTGGCGCCGACGAAGGTGAAGAGGCTGTCGCGTTTCTGGGACCGGACGTAGGCCTGCCATTGCCGGATATCGGCCTCCGACCGGGGGTGGAATCCGGTGGGGTACGGCACGCTCTCTTCCAATCGGTCCTTCAGGTGCTTCTCTACCCCTAACCGGAAAACATTCTTCATCCGAGGCATGTACAGTAAGCTGGTCCCCCAATCGGCGCTGTTGTCGGCCAATCGCCGGAAATCCCAGGTTAATCTCCCCAGCATAATGAAGTGATCTACAGCTTTGTACCTAGCAAAAGTCGGTTGCTCTTCTAGCCAATCGAGGAACATGTTACAGTAACGGTCTCGATCTTGGTACGTATAGTTGAACTCCGTGAACAAAAACTTGCCGACGGCAATCCCGGCGTAAAAGGGGATGAAGAATCCGGTGGCCTCCTCCGGATCCATGGTTCTACACTGGTGATTCAACATCCGCTCGTGGTAAATCAGCTCCGCGGAGTACATATCCGTCCAGTACCACGCCGGGAGGAGATTCTCGGGAACCACGCTCTCCAGCCCTTTCGCCGGCAGCCCAAATCCGCCATTAGCGACCACCTTGCATCCGGTCGCTTTCCAAGGATCCAGCTCGTTGCAATTCTCCACGAGCTCGTAGTTGAACATCCGCGGAGTCTCATAGACGTAGACCTTGCCGGAGCTGCAGTCGTGGCGGTGGGGCAACAGATGGTGGTGGCCGGCGGCGGACTTGGCCGGAGAGGAATGGATGAGGGAGAAGAGAACCCAGATTTGGAGAACGATGGTGGCGAGAAGGAAAACGCACTGGTTCAAAGGTACCTGAGATTTCACAGATTGCAACGCGTATTTGAGCTGAAGCGGCCTGGGTCTCTGCTCCGTTGACTGCTTGTTGCCGGGAATAGGCAGATTCAGATGCATCTTTACTCTCTCCGGCGATCGGAGCAGTGGCTTGGGTTTTCAGATGAGGTCCGGATGGAAAGATTCAGACAGTGAAGAGATAGAGACTAGAGAGAAGCCATTAAAACACAGCAATGAAGCTTACAACTGTGTTTGGTTTGTCATTTGTGTCAGTCCAAAAGTACCTTTAATAATAACAATAATATTTTCCATTCATTAATCATTTAAGTTAATTAATTGGATAAAATTATGTGTATATATGTAAACAAATTCTGGAAAATATAATTAATAGATTTTTTAAGATATTTATGATTCTTTACAAAAATAACACTTTGTTGTATAGTTTTTAAAGATTTTTTTTTTCAACTTAAAGAATCAATGCCCTCATATTAGTAGATTTAATTGTAAAAAAGTTTAGAATTTTATAGGGTCAATTATGAATGGATGAGAAACAAGTGGAGATAAACACTTTCACATGTATGTGTCCCCTGTCGGTGGGTTGGAGTTTGTACCAAACCTTACCACTTACCAGTATGTAATACAAAATACCCCTCCGTATATGTTATGAAAATAATATATCACCGTGTAGGTTTAATTTACTAATTTAATAAGTAATATTTAGAAAAAGAGATTAATGTTCAAATTTTGACAGCAGTAGTATAAGAATTATGACCAAAATGAATATTGGTTATATCTAGTGAACCATTGAGTCACGTATGACTTTAATTACAAGTTATGGTACGTTTTAATTTTGTCAATCTATCTTATATTCTTAAAATTGAATTAATTAGAGTATGTCAGAAATATCTAATTTTTGAATTAGTTCATTGATTATTGATGTTTTTAATTTTTATCCTTAATTTTCAATTCGATCATAATTGATTATTAAATAATTAATTTTATTTTAAATTTTATCATTTGTTAATAAATCTGTTTGGGGGTTAATTATGAACGTAAAAGTGTGACATTAAGCCTTTCAAGGCTTTCTTCTCCATTATTATTTACGTATAAACATAAAACATGTCCTTGTAGATGTTTAATTATTTATACTATATTTTATACATTCATTGGTGCAATGGACTTATACACAAACGGTTTATGATCAACTTTAGAATAAAATTGTGCTGGGTTGCTAAAGATTGGGAGGTCACAGTTAGCCATATTCTCCGAGAACAAAATATGGTAGCAAATGAATTAACTAAAATGACACGGAATGATATGGTATGCTGGAGTGATCTTTCTGAGCCTCCTTTTCAAATGAGACATTTGATGGAGGAAGACCACTTGGGCCGCACTTGGTTGCGTAAATTAAGAAAGGGGAACCATTGATTGTGGTCCCAGGGCTCCGCCCCTCCGTCTTTGATCAAAAAAAAAAAAAACTTTAGAATAAAACCAATAGTTCAAGAATTGTAATAGATCGAATTAAAAATCAAAAATTAAAATTAAAAAATATCAATATTTGTTGGGCTTTTCTTTGAGAATATATTTGTTGGGCTTTTTAAAAACTACAATGGAAAATAAAAATGAAGTACATAGGAAATTTTTAAATAACAATTGTTTTTACAGAAATATTATTGCATTTTTTATGCATTATAAAATTGTTTTTTTTGCCAACTTGGGCTAGAATTCACCTTGGGACACGACTATTCTTCCTCAGCCTCCAGATGATCTTTTACCGTTGCTTGGCCGCGATGCTAATAATGTCGCTGTTAGAAGGATCCACTAATACCCGGGGGCCTAGGCCCCTTTCCCCTACCAAAAAAAAATTGTTTTTTTTTTTTTTTTTTTCACATTGTACAATTATCTATAGTGAATTGGTACATGTGTGTGTATGTGTGTGTGTGTGTGTATATATATATATATATATATATATATATATATATATATATATATATATATATATATATATGATCTAGGTGAGAACATGTAGACAAATTTAAATTATTAATTTAATATATCTAACGGTTGAAAAAAATGAGGTTGCTTTCATAAATATTACAAATTTTAAAAGTTTGTAATATTTATGAAAATGAACCCACTTCTTTTTTTTTTTACTTGATTTCCTATCCATCAAATCTTGTAGATCAATAGTTGGTTTATCTACACGTTTTCACATGGGGATTGGTTCTTATATGAACCAGATTCATATGAGAAAATTAGAAAACAATCATAATTGTCTATCTGGGAAGATCCAACGACTATAAAGTATGGAAAGATGAAAAAATATGATGACATTTTCATAAATAACTGAAGCTTTTTAGTGCAAGTAGCAAATCTATGAAGTGCATGTATAAACGTAGTGACATGGTTATTTTTTAGAGTTTATCGTTAAATTTTTAATTTTTAATATTATTTTATTAGGTTGGTTTAGTTTTATTTTTTATTTTTATTTTTATTTTTTAATTTGGGTTAGAAGTTCATTTTATAGTTTAGTAATTATGATTATATTTAGGGGCGTTTGGTTCACGGAATGTTAAATTACCTTAGGGAATGTTAGATTGTTGGAAATATTAGATTACTGAGAATGAGAATGTTAGATTCCTATATTTGATTTAAATCTAAGGTATGTAAATACGACAACGGTAATAAGACAAATTGATTCAAATGTAAAATTAGTAATAAGACAATGGAATTTGAGGTTACCTAAAAAATTGAAGGGTATATCACATTTTCTTCCAATATCTAAAAACTTAATGTGGATACTATGTGACATTCTCTAAAAAAATTACATAACCTGAACCAAACATGAGAATCTTATATTCCCAAATAAATATAACATTAGTTATCTTATATAGAGCTTGGTGTAAAAAATGTTAGAACTTTTTATTTTTTTTCTCTATTTGACTATTTGCTTAAGATCCGTCAGATTTGTTCAAATAGATGAATTTGATTGGTTTATAATTCTCTAATAGAAGTTATTCTCATTATCAAAGTTGAAGAATACTTTAATTTGGTAAGCGATTAAAATAGTGATGAGAATAAGTTTCTGAACTGTCCCAAAAAGCAATCGTTATGCGTTGGACCTGTGTCCAACATGCATGCTGGACACGGAACGACACTGTTATCTCTTTTTTTTTTTTTTTTTTTTTTTTTTAAATTTCAGACTGCTTCGTTATAGGAGTATATGTTCATAATTTTATTACTATATGTTAATAACTGTACGTTCATAACTTTATAACTGTACATTCATAACTCCATAACTGTACATTTATAACTCCATAACTGTACATTCATAACTCCATAACTGTACATTCATAACTCCATAATTGTACATTCATAATTTTCGAAGCTCTATGTTCACAATTTTAGAGCTCTATGTTCATAATTTTATCACTATATGTTCATAATTGTAAGTTCATAATGTCAGAGCTCTTTGTTCATAATTCGATCAATAACTGTACATTCATAATTCCATAACTGTAGATTCATAATCTCATAACTGTAGATTCATAACTACATAACTGTAGATTCATAACTCTAGAACTGTACATTCATAACTCCATAACTGTACATTCATAATCTTTGAAGCTCTATATTCACAATTTTAAAGCTCCATGGTCATAATTTTATCACTATATATTCATAATTGTAAGTTCATAATGTTAGAGTTCTGTGTTCATAATTTCATAATTGCATAACTGTACATTCATAACGGCATAACTGTACATTCATAACGGCATAGCAGTACATTCATAATCCAAAAAAAAAAAATAACGCCGTTAACGGCAAAACGCGCGCGATTTTTTTTTAAAAAAACTAAATGACGCATTTTTTTTGAAAAACGACGTCGTTTTGGGCCCGTGTCCACAATGAATTGTGGACACGGGTCCAGGGCATAATTTGCCCCCAAAAAGTGTATTGGGCTTTAGTACCCAATCTACCAGACTTCAACTTTATACATTGTGCTCCATTATTGATTGGGCTGGAGAACCCAAAACACCTACGAAAATAAAATCGAGCAAGATATAATATCAATTGTTATATCATAGACGAACTTGCATTGTAGATCCTAGTACAAAATAAAATACAAAATATATATGTGCAGTTAACATATTATGTACATTTAGTTAATAAATTATGTACTTACTACGTTTAACATATTATGTAAATGCAGTTAATAAATTATGCATTTATTACAATTACTATCATTAACATATTATGTACATAGAATTAATAAATTATGTACATGTAATTGATCATGTTTGGTAAAATAGCTTATCAGTCAATTTTGACTTGTTTGATCACTATTAGTTGTTTGACTGTGAGTGTTTGATTAATAAGCTTTTTATAACAATTTATTACTCCAAAATGCTAAAATTCAAAAAGCCGCTCAAAGCAGCTTTTTCGATAAGTTTTTAAGAAAATAAATTATTTTTCCCAAAATACCCTAATAATTAAGAAAAATAATATGCATATGGATGTGCTCTTTTCGTGTATTATTATATTGTGTTGATGGTTATGTTATATGTGTTGAACGTTAATTGTTGTGTATTTATATATATGTGTAGATGGAGTATTAAATATTCTTAATTGGTTAATTTTAGTGCATGTATTGTTGATTAATTAATTATGTTGATAAAGTTTGGGATAGTGTATTGAATTGAATGGTTAAGTGTTGATTGAGTTTAAGTATTGAAAGTTATAATGTGTTTATTGGTTACTTGGATGGATTGAATTCATTGGTTGGAATGTGGGGATTGGTTGATTCTATTGGTTAATTAGAAACAAATTATGTACAGAGAAAAAAAATTATTTTTATTAAATTAATATTTTTTTGAAAAAAATATAATAAGCGTCCATTCCTTAGTAGAAATAGATGCATATATACAACTTTATTTCTTATAACTTACATATGATATTCTCGCACAAAATTAAACATTAAACATTTACCATAATACCATAAGTTATAGGTAGCTAACCACAACTGCCAAAAAATTTAACTTGTAATAAACACAACTTTATTTTCTTATACTTGTGTAACAGTAATCCTTCCCATATATTTAAGGATCAAATGGAAAAAAATAAAAAATAAAGGAACGTTAGATTTGGTTTTATATTAATATTATTATTATTAGCTCTTAGGTTCTTTAGAAGTCCTCCTCCTTTCTGTGTTGATAGATAAGCTTTCATACGTAGTACAAAAATATTAAAGGCGAAAATGCCACT